GCAAAGTGACGGCTTCAGCAGATCAGTGGGCCCTCCAGCAGTTCTGGCGTTGAGGCGCAGCCCGAACCATGCAAGACATGCCCACCACTCGGGTGGTTCGCCAATCCGTCTCGGTGCGCGAGCTTTCGGCTGACTGCGCCTCGCCGAATCCTGCTCCGAATCCTTCAACGAATTTGTCGGGTAGTGTCTTTGGTACCTGCATGTCGCGCCTCCTGTCAGGATCCTCTGACGCCTCTGAACATGCAAGGCACGAGAACCTGTGACGGCGCAGGGAAGTGCAACAGTCGGTCGGGGACCGAGGGAAAAGGCAGGTTCCTTTTCAAGAAAAACAACCCCTCTGGTGCGCAATAGAATTCAACTACTATATGATGGACGTGGACCCGCCCATCGAGATCCTATTAATAGCTGGAGCCACTTCTAAAGCCAACGACCACACCACTCGAATGACCACAGCCTCGTCGCCTTCGGAAGAACAGGCACCAAGCCGAAAGAGCTGTGGTTCAGAGCTTCAAGCTTTCAGCATGCCGAAAAGACGGCCGACTATGCGGGGTGGTGTGTCGTTCTAGTGTACATTTTCTGGCTCCTTTCCACGTGCGTGTAAAAGAGCTAATACACACGCCGGTCATCTCGTCAGAAATCTGGTCACTTCTCCTTTTCGAAGAAATGGACAAATCGTGACAGGCTCGCTCCTGACGTCCGGACGCCCTTTAAATGCTTCACATCAATCCCCTCGGCTACAGCACCAGAGGCCACTGATTGATCATAATGCTGCTGGGTGATCTTCATCTGCCATACGGATGGTAACGACCTCTCCCACGGAATCCTCCCCCGGGCTTGTTTCCTGGATTCTTGGGTCCAGTCGGTGCGTTAGCTGGAGCGCTTGGTGCCGCAGGTCCGCCAGGCCCTTTTGGTGGTTTCGGGGTATTGTGACGAACAGGGCCCGCGGAGCCTCTGCCACCAGCATTGCCTTCTGGTTGAGGGACGTCGTCGTACATGCCTTCCCACGACTGCGGCCCACCGCCGTGTTGTTGTTGTCCGTGCTGGCCTTGAAAGCCGCCTCCACGCGGACCATGAGGGAATCCACCTTGGCGACGCACGTGTTGTTGTTCATACTTCTGTTGCTCAAACGCCAGCTGCTCTTGGGCCGATAGCTGTCGTTGCCCTCCGCCCATACTGGCCGGGCCCATCGGTGGACGCCCCCCACCCATGTTCATCCCGTTCATCCCGCCTTGTTGCATATTCATCATCTGTTGCATCATTTGCGGATTCATGCCTTGCATGTTGCCCATGCTGGCATTCTGCGCGTTGGGACTGTTTCCGCCTTGCATCTTCTGTTGCTGCTGCATCATCTGCATCATCTGCATCTGTTGTGGGTTCATGCCCATATTGCCCATTCCACCCATGCCGCCCATCATGTTCGCTGCCATCTGTTGCTGCATCATGGAAAAATACTGTTGCATTCTCTGCCAGTACTGAGCCATCATTTGCGGCGTCATGCCGGAATTGCCGCCCATCATATTCGGCGTTTGATTTTGGGCAGCTTGTACCGGCTGGCTGTTGTCATTGCTGCCAAAGCGATCCTCCCGCCCGAACTTTCCGCGGCCCCGGACACGACCAAAGTCTTCATCTTCGCCCATCTTGCCTCTTGGTTGAGCACGCTTCACTTCGATGGGCTTCCCAAGTATTTCGAGCGGATAGAACTGGAGGCATTTTTCCACCGCCGCATCGCTGTCGAAGGTGACGAATCCAAAGCCTCGTGGTCGGCCCGTGTCCTTGTCCATCATGAGCGTCGCGTCGATCACACGACCGAACTGAGCGAAGAATCCCTCGAAGTCTTCTTCTGTAGCATCTTGACTGACGCCACCAACGAAGATTTTAGCCGTCTTCTCTTGTTCGTCTCGGGGGATCGCACGCTTCGGGTCGATCTGGGTACCACTCAGTAAGTCTCCGTGTTTCCGTTTCAGGGAATGTGAATGTAGCCGGGAAATTGATACAAGGGTGTCTTGTCTCTCCCGGGATCCATCAAAATGGGTGGCTCTTACAATCTTTCCATCCAGGAAATGCTCCTTGACCATCACGGTGTTGACTGTCTTGGGGTCCTTGAACGTCAAAAAGCCGAAACCTCGAGACCGGCCGGTAGCACTGTCTCTCATGACGGTGCATTCTTGTACTTCGCCGAATTGAGAGAAATAATCGTGCAGAGACTCTGTCGACGTGTTAGTATCATGGCGGCGTTCATGCTGAATGGACGCTCAAGGGGCATTCGGCGTCGATTCACGGCGCTAGGACAGTTTCTTACGGTCGGTTGTTTCCCAGTTGAGTCCACCTATGAACATTTTTCTGTAGGTAGCACTATGTTAGCTATGAATCCAATGCCACGACAAGCTCATCAGATGACCGTGAAATAGACAAGAACAATGGGATATCGGATGAAGAGTGCGGCGCATATAACTCGTCTTCTGCTGGCCCCCTGCCCGAAGCAACAGCCTTGCAGCAACAGCATTATACCACGTCCCCACAAGTCTGCAGACTTCCCAACGCAGACACAGCATGGAAATATGTATCCGCCCACAGGAGTGCGTGGTCTAGAAGCAGATGTCATGGCTTGGGGACTTCTTTGTCTGGTGGGCAATCGAGGAGCGGCCTGTTGCAGCACAGCGCGGTGATATAAGCCAGCCAGCACCGTGATGATCAAGGTGGGTATGTGCCAAGACTATTCGTATGGATGCTCTGCGCGTGTCTGCCAAAATTGAGACCCCGACCACCGGTTCAATGCCTTGTTCTGTGGCTGTGGCATGTCTGTAGCGCAGCAAACTGCGCAAGTGGCACCCATCCCATTGACCGATGGCTGTCATCTGACGCATGGGTAGCAATATTGATGCTCTGTATTGCTCGGCTTCTGTCCCGCATGTAACTGGAAGTAGTCGACAAGTGTTCTGACTTCTAGTCGACTGAGGCAAAGATTCGTTGGCGTTTTCTGAGATTCAACAGACACTCCATAGCATCTATCTCCTGCCTGATTTGGTCTTTTTACGTTGCGCTGCCTGTGAATATCTCGTTGTATGGGAGCAGTTCCTGCCATCTATTCTGGCGCACCTGGACCACCACTTTCGGTACTGAAGATCGACTCTGCTAGTTGTTGGCAATATGTGAAAAACCATGGACGTGAGGTTCCATATTTGACAAGTCTTCCATGCCATGATAAGTCCGGCCGACTTCGACCGCAGCCGCCCAAGCATATCTCAACAGGAAAATGGCTGGCAGATGCTAGTAGCCATGTGCGACCATCCCTGATATGCACGGCATTTGCCAGTGATGGGTGATTGCACGGCCCATGATGCCTTGGCGGAACAGAGATGTGAGAGAACATCCACATTCGCCAGTATAGAGATCTCTTGTCTTCGAACCACAGACGACCTTGTATCTTCGAGATGATGGACGTCGCCTTTCAGATCGTGTACAGCCTTGCTTCTTCCCCGGCGACCACTGTTGATTACAGTCGTTTCACGGACCGTCCCAGTCTTTGCCACCCATGGTGCTCTCCTCGGCGTGGTTCATTCCTTCGGGCCTTCTAGTCCGCCCAACCAGAACATGACAAAACTTCAAGGAATGAAAAGGGGAGGAAAAGATTGCGGCACAAGGGGACATTGGTAGACGCATTGGACTCACCCATCCTCTTTCATGTTGACATTGAAACGCTCTTGCGGCGGCTGCATCTCATGTGTCTCTTGTAGCTGGACCTCATTGTTGGTGCCATTGGCCAATTCTTCTTGAGCTTGAGGTTCTGTCTCAAAGGACACATCGTTATAAGCAACCTCTGGTTCTTCACCGTAGCCTGGAGGATCGTTGCCCTTCATGGCAGTGTCGCTCGAGGAGGGCTGTGCAGCAGAAGCGGCAGGAGCGGTAGTGGCTGCATGATTGTTGGAAGTGACATTCTCTTCGCCGTCGTAGCTGAAAGGTGACTTAGCAACGGCGTCATCTGGCCAAACGCTCTTTCAAGGAGATCAAGTGTAATTGATGAGGTTGGTAAGACTCACAGATCTGCGAAAAGATCTTCCTCCACGTCGTCAGGTTCTGCCATCTTCGCGGTTCACCTACAAAGCGTGATCGGGTCCGTGCCTTGCGCTCAATGAAGTCTGTCTGAGTCGACTCCGGAAGTCTTCCTCGATGAATACTTCCAGAGGCCAAAGCAAAGAAGAGACGAGCGGCTGCACGGCCTGGTCCAAAGCAGAAAGGGGAGATGTGAAAGTTAGTTGTTGTTTGAAAATGAAATAGAACAAAAGGTACACAGGATGGGGTGAGGTGACAAGTAAAGGTCAGTTGAAGGCAAGGCATGGACGCGCTGTCTGGAAGCGAGCGCAGCCGGAGCTTTCGGCTCCGATAACCTTGGCAACATCAGTGACAGTGGTCGCGTTAGGCGTCGGTAGGCGTCGGTGGGCGCCCCAGGCACTGCCTCCTACCCAGGCACATCACGCCGGCACTGGCAAGCCACCTGCATGGCCACCTACGTCCACACCCGCCTTGTAAACACATTGCCTGCAATGATTGCTATCGTCATTCACAGGATCTAAGCATGTTCTCTCCACTTCATGCAAAAGTGATCAGGAGGAAACCTCGATAGGCTTTCCTTGCGGGTACTGAACCCCAAGTTAACTCAATATGGCGCACAAGAGAACCCAACAGCAGGTAATGTCTCCAGCCCAAACGCCGTATATGAGTTCCTACTGACCATCCGCAGGAGATGGTCCAGGTCGGTTCGTGTCTCCTTCTATCTCCTTGTTTGCTATCTATATTCGTGGCAGGGACTCTCGCTAACGCCTGGTTGACCGGCAGACAGAACAGAGTACGAGGATTCAGCAAGCTGCAACATCTCCAAAGAGGCCTTGCTAACGGTTCGTAGGCGACCATCCTCCCCCTTCTGGAGAGGACGGCCCTCCACTCCTCGGCAAGCATCGGGCCAGTCTACCAAAGTCTTTGGCGCGTCTTACTCTCATGCGGATATGCTGAAGTTCGAGTCTCTGTGAGGGCATTGACAGGAAAGATGGAAACATACAACTAATACATGGCAGGAACTTGGGACCTCATTCGAGGTCGAGAACGCCGCCACCATCGACACGAAGGCCGTCGCAGACGCCCCCGTTGGATAGGCAGAATATTCAGTCTCCAGAAAGAAGACCGTACACAGGCTACACCTCCTCCGCACTTGGCGAAAGCTGGGACGTTGGTAGTGGCGGAGACCTGGACGAAGAAGACGATGACCTTGTCTATGAGGATGATGAAGACGAGTTCGGACTCCCCAGCATCACAAGCATGCGGCGGAAACGAAGTAGGAAGGACAAGACACTGAAAGCCGTCCAAACGTCGTACCCCAACCTATTACAAACCACGTCCGCTCCAGCTTTGGCTCCGTCGCCTTTCGCCCGGCCTGTCAGGTCGAACAGTTTTGATATTGCTGAGGAGCGCAATCCGCTGGCATACCCCAGCGCGAAGAAGGGAGAAGGGAAGATCCTCAGGCCTCAATATAAAGACATCCTAAAAGACCCAGCGAATTCGCTCCACCTAATCAACCACCCTTCGCTGCCCTTGAATGCCACGCCCAAGGAAACAGAGGCCCATAGCACACGGATATCACGAATCAACAAGTTCAAGCGAATATTGCAGGCAAGCTCTGTGTCTCTACCGGATCTACGAGCCGCAGCGTGGTCAGGGGTCCCTGAAGAAGTACGTGCGATCACATGGCAGCTTCTACTTGGGCATGTGCCTACCAATAGCGAGCGCCGTGTTGCCACACTTGAGCGAAAGCGGAAAGAGTATCTCGATGCTGTGAACCAAGCTTTCAGTTCGGGCCATGCAACAAGTCGGAGTGCCTCAAGCACGGGTCTTCCAGGCCTTGCGTCACAGCCCAGCCGCGGACGAGGACTGGATGAGGCTATATGGCATCAAATTAGTATCGACGTACCACGTACGAATCCGCACATACCCTTGTACGGCTTCGAGGCCACGCAGCGTTCCCTCGAACGGATCTTATACGTCTGGGCGATCCGACATCCCGCTAGTGGCTACGTGCAAGGAATAAACGACCTTGCTACGCCATTCTGGCAGGTTTTTCTGGGAACCTATATCACCGACCTGAATATTGAGAGTGGGATGGACCCTGGACAATTACCCCGACCCGTCCTGGACGCAGTTGAGGCTGACACATTTTGGTGCTTGACTAAGCTGCTTGATGGGATACAAGACAACTATATAGTGGCGCAGCCCGGCATTCATCGCCAGGTTGCCGCGCTTCGAGACCTGACAACCCGGATCGACTCAGGTCTTGCCAGGCACTTCGAAAACGAACATGTGGAATACATGCAGTTTAGTTTCCGCTGGATGAATTGTTTGCTGATGCGAGAATTGAGCATCAGAAGTTTGATAAGGATGTGGGATACATACATGGTGAGAACACACCTAAGTGCCATTCTTCAAGATGCTAAACCCATATCACAGGCGGAAGAGAACGGCTTCTCCGAGTTTCACCTCTACGTGTGCGCAGCCTTCCTTGTCAAATGGTCGGAAAAGCTGATGAAGATGAACTTCCAAGAGATTTTGATGTTTTTGCAAGCGCTGCCCACACGCGAATGGACAGAGAAGGATGTTGAGTTGCTGTTGAGTGAAGCGTTCATTTGGCAGAGCCTGTTTCGAGGCTCAAGGGCCCATCTGCGAACGCAAAATAGTAACATACCCATGGGCTCGTTAGGCCCCTCAACCTGAACCAAGGGATCAATCAATGCTATGTGGGCTGGTGCAAACGGGCTGCAGAGTTGAAAACTGACCGACTCATTAACCTGTCCTTGCGGTCACCCAGCGGTGCATCAAAGTTGTGCTGAATAACATAGGGGGCCGGATGGACAATAGCGACATCACGTGGTAACTTCGGCAGACCTACCGAAGTAGAATTCTGGCGTTTTCACTGCTCAAGCGCAGGCAGCCTCCACTCCCTCTTGAGATCTTCGACTTGCCTCCGATTTCTCATCCATCTTCTCATCTTATCGTCACTTTCATCACTCGCCCCAACCTCATCTTGAATTCACTTGACAACGAATCCTCCAACCTTTCTCGATCGTAACCACAACTTGTCGGTCAGGTTGATTAGGCATTTCTTTGTGTTAAGATTCGCATCACACCTGCAAACGGCCGCCGGCACACGAGACGGCGCTGCTGACTAGGGTTCCTGGATCTTCGCATCACCCTCGTGCCAGAGCTCGGCTTGCTTCCCTGCAGCTATTGTTGGGAAAGTGCAAAACATACTTCTTTTCAAGAGCTGAGTTGTGGTTGGGAAGGCAGAAGTAACGTGTCACCATTGTCGGTGGCGGCGGGTTTGCGCAAGAGGGGTTGGTGAAGGAATCAGAGGGTCCTTCATGAGTTGAACTTCGGTTTCTCCTCAAACTGGACTTTATTACTCGTCTACCTACAATAACATCTTCCTTTCCTCTTGCAATTCCTTGACTTTTGCCCCTGGGAATCTATCTACACCACAACCGCAGCGCTGTCAGCATTGCGCTCGTCGTCAGCCTAACCGGACGAACACCTCGACGGTCCTTGCCCTTCACCCACAGTTGCCGGTTGGCTCTACCGCCATGGCTTCTTACGTATATTTCAAATTCAAGTCCCAGAAGGAACCTCAGCGCGTAACCATTGATGGGCCTCACACGGACGTCTGGAATCTCAAGCGTGAAATCATCAGCATTTCCCGTCTAGGAGACGGCACCGACTTTGATCTCAAGATCTACAAAGAAAATAGCAATGAGGGTAAGCTCGGTGCATTTTCCCGTTACTAAAGTCATTGTCACTGAACCTTGATAGAATACACCGACGACACCGAGATAATCCCAAAAGACTCAACGGTCCTTGCTCGAAGATTACCTGCATCGGCACCAGGCAAGGGACGTGCTGCTCGTTATGTGTCTGGAAAGCCACCTGTCAGTGCAAAGCCTTCTGTTGCGGCTGCAACAAGCAGGGTGGTTAAGACAGTGGACATGGCCAAAGCAATGACAGAGGAGGAAAAGTTAAAGGCTATGCTCCAGTTCACCGATGCGCAATGGCAACAAAAGCAAGAAGAAATGTCACACGAAACTCGGGTACATATTCAAGGGAAGCCATTCAACAAAAAGGCGAACGTGCCGGAAGGCGAACCGCCTCATGGGTACATCTGCTATCGCTGTGGCAAAAAAGGTAGGCAATTATCCCATTCCATCGTTTGTTCAGGCCGCACGTTAACCGTAACAGGTCATTGGATTCAAGCATGTCCAACGAATGATGACACCAAATATGACAACAAGAACCGTATCAAGCGGACGACTGGAATCCCGCGGTCCATGCTGAAGAAGATCGACCAAGCAGATATTGACAAACTTGACGACGCACAAAGACAAAACCTCATGGTAAATGCTGAAGGAGAATACGTCTTTGCTCAAGCGGATGAGAAAGCTTGGAAAAAACATCTTGAACAAGTCAAAGCCTCCGAGGCGGCCCAGAAGAAACAAAACCTTGGTGACCGAGAGCTACAAGATCGAGGCTTGGAATGCCCGATCGACAAGCGCTTGTTTGTAGATCCAATGAAAACACCTTGTTGTGGGAAGACATATTGTCATGGCTGTATCGAGAACGCATTGCTTGAGAATGATCTCACATGCCCTGGCTGTGAGACAGAGAATATCAGCCTTGAGCGCCTCGAGCCCGATGAGGAGATGAAGAAGAAAATCAAAGAATATGATGCCGAGAAGGCTGATTCAAAGCAACGATCTCGAAGCCCTACACTAGCAGCAAATTCACCAAAAGACAATGCTTCGCCCGCTGGTTCCAGACCTGGTTCCCGCGATGGCACCGGAACTCCTCAGTCGACGAACGGTTCGGCTAAGAAGCGCAGTGCGAGTGAAGTTGACAGGTCTACGTCTTCCAACAATCTCGCGGCTCCGGCTATGAAGCGTCAAAAGTCCGGGGAGGCTGTATCATCGTCTACGCCTCAGCCAGATGGCAATGAGGGACCAAACAACGATAGTGCCAAGGAGGCTGCTTCTACCCCTGAGACCGCTAATGTGCTGCCCGCCAACATGATGCCGCCTGATTTTTCACAAATGCAACAGAGCAACAGCATGAATCTGCCGATGATGCCTGGCTTTAACCCATTTATGATGAACCCTATGATGATGGGCATGGGCATGGGTATTGGCATAAATGGGATGAACGGGATGAACGGCATGGCCCCAATGAACTTCATGAACCCGATGATGATGAATGGCATGAACGGCATGAACCCGGGCAACATGGGAAGTTTGGGCATGAATTTTCCAGACCAGCAGAATTGGAATGGGAGCATGAACCAGAATCCAAACAACAACATGAACCACGGCCAACTCAACGGCTACAACAAGTTCCCTAACCGCCCGCACCGAAACCAGAACTTCCAGGCTTCCTCGAAACCGTCGACGCCACAACAACCTGCCGGCCTCGTAGGGGTGCCCACTGGACCGAAAGCCATGAGTCAGCAAAACCAACAGAACAAGTACAACCAGAACCCAAACCAGCAGAACTTTTACCCACCGTCAGGACCAGCCGGGAGCAAGTTCTCAAATCAGCAGCGGCATACCGGCAACGAGGAGGACAATGCCTATATGCGGCAGCCGGTCAATCCGCATCGACACAATAACCGCAACAGGAGACCACGGCAAGCGGATTATAGGGAGCTGTGAACGGAACTGGAGAGGAACGGTCCCACGACACCAGATAATGCTGAGAAGGAGATGGTTTTGCTTCAATCTTTGAAGCCTGTTACAGTAACTTGGGTTCGGGGAGCATGCAAATATTCATAGGAGGCACTTTGCCGCTCTAGGATCCAACATGAGAGATCAAGGCGGGTCTCGCATTGCAAATGGCGTATGGATCGCCTCGACGTGTTTGGTCGAGCAATGAAGGCGTTCTGCTTCGACGCAAGCCTGACAACATTGCGTATTGACATTTTTGTATTTCATTGTGGCATCAGCCGTCACTTGAAGGTTATGAGTGCTAGCATTCAGACGAAACAGCCATGCAGCTCCTGGCCCAATGACACGAAATATTTGAACAGAACGTTTTATAGACTGCTTCTCTCCTTGCTTCCCTAGCAGCTGTGCCCGATGCCGTCTGCCAGTCAGTGGTCTTTCGCAAGGTCAATCGGCCCATTCCTTGTTTTATTGTCTACATGCTCATGAACCACAAATCTGTCACGTTCAGACGGTCAGACGGTTCGGTCTCCTTCCCTTCAAACCCCCTTACCCGCCTCTACTTTACCTCTTCGGCAGCGTCGTGGCCGTAACGCCAGTCACGCATTCTGCGATCAGCAATCCATACACGTGCCGCTTGTGATCTTCGCACCCCGTCACACCATCTCGGGCCAATGCTGCATTTCTGAGTCTTGTTTCTGTCCACGCGGAAGATGTAGGATGTTCCCTGCATTCATACTCGCATTATGGCACCGTGGCTGGGAAAAGGAGTTGCGAGCCTTGACAGAAGCATTTCATTTCGTTCGAATGTAGTATAGTCTGCTTGGCGCCTCTCTGTCAGATTCCTGTTTTCTCTCACTGACCAGATGTTGCTGCGGCCGGAGGATACTCGGGACACATCATGTAAAGAAAGCAAAGGTCATCCTCGAGGTCATCCTGTCGAGCATGTTCATCTGAGGAAAGAACTACTGTATCGAATGCTCCGCAGTACGTAGCGCGGAACGATACGGTGAATCACTAGGCGGACTCGTGACGCGTAAATGGCGCCTCGACGTGTTTCTCTCTTGATGTCTCGGGATTTTATATGCTCATCTACGCCCTGATTCGGACTCCAGGATTTCCTTTCCTTTGTCCTCGTCATGCTCCTATCTAATTCCAAGTCTCCGCAGCCACCTTACAGACGGCAAAGCCGCCGAATTGGAGGACGCTCGCGCCAACAAACACATTTTCAAATGGGTCCACAGCCGCTGCAGTCATGAAACTGATCTTTGAGCCATCGTCGAAGTACACCAATTCCGGTGCATAATTTTTGTCCTTACGTAGTCGGAGCGCTGCAGCCGGGACCAAGAGATCTCTGCCCAACGATCGAACGTTCTCGAGGTACTTGGGCAAGTCCTCGAGTGTGGGAAAGACTGTCTGAAGTCAGCAACAAAGGCAACAGTTCCTCTCCACCATATCCTACCTGCGACAATTGGGTCTCCGGTTGTCGGCAAGAAGTTGATGTTGTCAGCTGCAGCGCCCAGATCCTACGACGTTACTTATCAGCTCTAACCGTGTCTAGTCCTACCGTATCGGGATGAGAGCAACACTTACAACCACCTGCAGCAGTGTCAATGTCCGGTCCGTGTGGATCTGGAATATCGTGACCGTCCCGTTCTTCGAGTCCCCCACGAAAAGTCGATCCTCCCACAGGTTGATACCATTAGCGCCAGGGAAGGTACCCGACACCTGCCTGCAAATGACATTCTGTCGCAACGGGTTAGGAACTGCCCAGGATCCGGACAGTACAAGGCCTACCTCGGCGGCTGCATTACAGTGCTGCACATTGGTTGCCCAACTCCAGGGTCCGTAGCGCTCCTCTGCTACTCGTAAGGGGCCGCCGGCAAAATAGTGGTCGTTAGTCACGAAGAATTCTCTGCCAGAATCAGTACTCAGGCGTTTGTCGAGCCGATGGATTTCCTACAATGGCCCTGTCGCTGCAACTCCATTCGCTGTTTTGATGTTTTGATGTTTGACGTTTTTCACCAACTCAACCACGTCGGACCCCAGCTCGTGGCTAAAGATGGCGATAGAGTCTCCACTTCGAGCATGGTTTACGGCGAAGATACGTATCTGATCGTTATCAGCTCCAGAACTCGAACTTGGGTATCAGCGTGTCCAACCTGTGAAGGGTCCTCAGGCAACGTCAAGATATCGATGCCATGTGTAACAAAGTCCCCGTCAAGCCCCTTTAGCTGCAATTGAGTAGTCTCACCAGTCGCCAGATCATGCTTGAACAACTGCTCACGAAAGGAAGACTCGGCGCGCAGCGAAACAGTTCGCACACCAGAAGGCGGATACCAATGCGTCCGCTCAACCGGGTCTCCACAGGCGAGGAATGCTGTCTTTGAGGGAAAGTGTATCTTCACGTCCTCACAGGCATTGGCAGTGTCAATGACCCAGCAATCGCCGTTATTGAGAGCTGAACTATTCTCCCACCGCACCAATCGCGTTTTGTCGATTTCAACTCGGCCGGCCAATCGCCACAGTTGGGCCGACTGATTAAAGAGGACGAGTGGAATTAGGGGCAGAAGAAAGGTGAGGACAGATCTGGTCGACATTCTGCGCCTTCACACCGATCAAAAGTCGAGGGTTTACTGAGAAGGAGAAGAAGTCCAGAGGCGACGGTTTGTGGGCCAAAAGAGTGCGGAGAAGGACGGCCAGTTAGTTACCGGTTCCATTCCGGACAATCGCCTATTGACATTGGGACTGCATCTGGCTGATGAAAACCATCCTTGGACTATTGTCACTGGAGATGCTATAGGTAGGTATACCCTCGGGACAAGGAGTATCTCCTCATGTCGTGCTGTTGGTCCGTCCTGGCCGACATGGCCCGAAACGACAGGGGCGAAGCAACTTACAGCAATGCGCTTCTCGTGTCGAGGTATGCGCATGGGCAGTTTTTGCACGAAGCGTGGTCCGCATGCACACTCATCATGGAAGGGATCGGGGTGTGCCAATTGGGCGCTGCCTGGAGCGTTGATGGTTGTTGAGATTAACTTTCTTAACGGGCACAGGATGAGGATCTGTTCGCTGCACGCATGGCTGATCTTCGAGCCGAGACTATCGCGCAACAAGCTCATACAATTTCGAGCGAATGCTTCCGGCGCTTTATGGGTCCTTTATTGCAATATCATATGCTCGGGCAACTCATTCGTCGGCATCTCATAGGGAATTGGGCTGGAACTCGCTATGGGATTCCGTGACTTGGAATCTTGCATGGCGCTTTCCTCGAGTCAGGGTTCTCTTTCGTCTCGCACCCTGGATGCGGCAGCACAGATTTCAGTATGAGCGATGGTGCAGAGTCCGCCGAATTTATCAGGCAAAGGATACGATATGATCCTGCCGGCTGGGGATGTGGTGCAGTACGTGGTAAGAATCGACCAGGATAGGAAACGTGGGGCCCTCCACATTGTGGGATTGGGGTAGGATCAGATCGGCATGCAGACAAGGAATGAGGCTGATATCTGGAAAGTCTATTGACGGACTTGAATCAAAAGCCAGTTCATGTCAGGTCAGGTCTCGCATTGAAGGGCGGACTGATCTCGACAGTTGTTGCGCACAAAAGAGATCGAAATGTCGACGGTAACAGTTGACCACCCTTCGATAGGGTCGATCCGTGGCCTCGAAGGGGATGGGGTCTACCAGTTTCACGGCGTCCAGTATGCTACATTGAAAGACAGGCTTGCTGAAGCCCAAGTCAAAACAGCATACGAAAGCCCCGTCGATGCTACAAGCCATGGGTGAGTCTTGACTGCATGGACTTGCAAGGTACACCCATGCTGAGGGTTGGACTAGACCATCGGCGTATTCTCCCGCCAACGGATACGACAATGAGATGCTATTTATCCAGCAGTCGATGCCCAAGCCCAAGACGGTGCATTCCGACCTGGAATGCTTGAATCTTAACATCACCGTTCCCAAGGGCCAGACTGGTACCGACCTGGGGAAGCAGAAGTTTCCCGTGTTCATCTGGGTCCATGGCGGCGGCTTTGTTGTGGGAGCAAATTCGTGGCCGCATTACGACCATGGCAAATTAGTCAAGCTTGCCAACAGCAACGGAATTCCTGTGATCGGAGTCGGGATCAAGTGAGTTTGAATCTCCCAGCTTATTCGAAGCCAAAGGAACTTCAGACACCTGCTTACGTCGGCAAAATATAGCTATCGATTGGGCTTTCCGGGACTACTGACGTCCGAGGAACTGCGGCAGAGGGGTTATAAAGCCAACAACAGCCTGATTGACCAAAGAGCCGCATTCCGCTGGGTGAAACAACATATCGCGGGGTTTGGCGGTGACCCCGAGAACATCACTGTCATAGGCGAGAGCGCAGGGGCAGGTAAGACAATCACCATCTGCGAAACTCCTAAGACCAGGGGACCGTAAGGGCTGACCGATCACGCAAAAGTGGCAACAACATTGCACCTGTATTCGAAAGAAAAGCTGTTCAACCGAGCCATTGCCACCGGCGGCTCTTCTCTCTTGGTCCCCGTATTCGAGCTCGCGGACCAGGAGCGTACCTACCAGCAGGTCCTCTCCATCCTGGGGCTCGAGAAGATGAATGCCGAAGAGAGGGTTCAGAAGCTCTTGACGTTGCCCACAGACCAGGTCATTGCGAAGCTACCGCCATCTGTTGCCCTTCTGCCGACGCTCGATGGCGACACCATACCCGTCAGACCCACGTTCGCTTCTGTGGCCGACAAGTCCGACCAGAGTATGCCCGGCAAGCAGTGGGCCGAGGGGCTAATGATTGGAAATGGCGGATTTGACGTGAGTCTGAAAGCATGCGTTTGATTTTCTGATGTACTGTGCCTCGTTCTTTTATTGACCCACGCTCTTTATACGAAAACAGGCATCAGTCCTTGGATTCATGCTGGGCCACCTCAAGGCAGGCATCAAGGACAAATTCCCAGCGTCCATAAAGGCGTCTCTGGCCTCGGATCCCGCTCTCGCAGACCAAATCCTCGAATCATATGGCTTCACCGGCTCGTCTGCTGCTGATGCCCATGACAACGACGACGCCGCCTTCCTCCGATTTCTCGAGTTCGTTAATGACATCAGCTTCTTCGGCGCCACGACGGCCTACGCGCGCGGCTGGCCCGCTTCCCCCACGGGCGAGTCGAACATCTACGCCTTCTTCTTCAACGAGCCAAACCCCTGGCCGGGCGCTTACCAGGGCCGCGCCACCCACGTGCTGGACGTGGTCTTCCTGTTCCAGAACCATAACCACAATCTGTCGCCCGCGCAGCGCGCCGCGGCCGAGCAACTCGGCCTCGACTGGATGAAGTTCGTGGCGGGCCAGAAGCCATGGGAAGGGTATACCCCGGAGAAAAGGTCAGCCAAGGTATACGGCCCGTCGGAGGGAGATGGCGCCGCAGCAACGAGCAAAGTCGTGGATGCCGACTCCCTGGAGACTGGGAGGGGGAAGGCAATTCTCGAGATCGGCGAACAAATTGGCTTCGACAAGTTGAATGAGATTGTGGGCAAGTTTCGACTCGGGCTGTGACTTGATTAGGTGCTTGACTGAGCTTCGCTTCTTCCGGACCACGACGGCTGAGCTTGATTCTTGTAGTTGTTTACGCAGGGCTCGGACGTATACTCGCTCAGTGCAAGTTATGACATGCAGTGAATTACGACAATTTCCTAAATAAAAAGAAGCGTTGGTCTCGTTGTCCGCGTGCCGAGGCGGCTGAGCTGCTCGAGGAGATCTCACATATATCCCCAAAAGTCCAAGGCCGTGCTCGGTATACTCACTCCACTCACCCTGCATACAGTGCCATATATACGTACGTAATAAGTCATGATGCCGACCTACGTAATAACTCGGGATATCAATTACTAGGTCGATCGGTCGAACTGTCGGTCCGTCGGACGATCTCCTTCCTGCCTGTCAGGTGCTGAGGAACCCGCTTTTCCACCGAATAAATTCAACTTCGGCTCTTGCACACCCATATCGGGTGAAAAGGGGAAGACGGCCGATCAGATCTAAGGTCGAGGTCGAGGTCGAGGTCGAGGTGCCCTTTGAGAGTACGCCGTCAGTACTGGACCTGGTGTCCGTGTATCTACATGTCTACATATCTACATATCTGCGCGAAGTGATGATTAACACGTGCACACCCCTGGAATGCCCCACCACCAGACAGGGGGAGCTATTGGGTGTGGATTGGCGCAAGTTCCATATCCCGAACGGTCGAGGGGAGACAAGACAATGATAGTATCGATATCGATACTAATACGGATACGAATCCAGGTACAGGTACAGGTACAGAATCAGATCTGGATTCGGACTCATAAACAAGAAGGCCAAAAGATTACAGATCACAGGGAACAAAAGACTAAAAGGACTCGAACTATACTATTCCCCTGAACTCGACAACTCGACAACTCGACTACTCGACAACTCGACTACTCGACAACTCGACTACTCGACAACTCGACTACTCGACAACTCGACTCAACTTGACTCACTTTTTCAAATCAACCCACCAGTCCGTCGTGGTGTTCGCGGTGGTGCCCGCCGTCGTGTTCGCCATCATATCCGCCATCATGCCCATCATTATATCCGCCATTATATCCGTCATCATATTCGCCATCGTATCCGTCGTCATACTCGCCATCATATTCCCCTTCATATCCACCATCGTCCCCGCCCTCGTATCCGTGGTTGTGTTCGCTCTCGTGACCGTGGTTGTGTCCGCCGTGTCCTCCGCTATGGTGGCGGTCGTGGTCCTCGTCGTAGTGTCTGTCGCCATGCTCGTGCTCTGACCCCCCTTTCCAGTGCGAATCGCCCCCGTGGGGGTCTTCGTCGCCCTGACCCCAACCCTCGCCCTCATCTTCGACTTCATCATCATGGCGTGGGTGGGGATGCTTGTCATGATGCCAGGATTTCGGGGATTGAGATCCTCGTGCGGCCGAGTGATGATCCTCCTCCTCTTCCTCATCATGTTCTTGGTGCTCGTCGTGGTGAGACGATTCCGCGGAATGATGTTCTGTATCCTCAGCACCATGTTCTTGATGTTGGTCCTTGGGAGGCGAGGCGGCAGGCTGTTTTGCTTGTTGGGCCGGGGCCGGGGCAGGCGACTGCGCGGCAGGCTGTTCTGCTTGCTGGGGTTGGGCCTGGGCCGGCGACGGCGATGGCGCCGGCGCGACAGTATATTTTGGTTGTCCGTGTTGAACCTGGGCTTGGGCAGATGATTGCGCGGCAGCATGTTCATCCTTACTGGCATCAGGACCTATTATGCCAGGACCTAATATGCCAGGACTTCTAACTTGTCGAGTGTGCTCCACTTCCGCGGTATCATGTTCTTTCTCCTGATGAGCATCATATTGTGGCTGTTGGACGCCGGCGGACGCACCTGCTTTTTCTTTCTCTCCTCCTACCACTCCGAAACAACCATCTACGGGGGGGGGTGCAGACCTGAGCTTCTGCCATGCCTCCAAATAAGACGCGTCCATGTTGGACTGATTATGACCCTTGTCGAAGATGAGTGAGTGGGTGATCTGGCCGAGTTATCTCGCAGAGGCACGAGGTCGCTGGAGGAGAAAAGCTTTGTTCTCTTGATTCACTTGGTCCTGGTATTGATATCCACGGCTTCGGCCAGCTTCTTCGACATTCTGGCTGAGGAGTGGGAGACACCGGCTCGTATTGTCATGTGGCAAGATTACCAACGGCGTCGTCAGTGAGATCCTTCGGCTCCCATCATAGCCCGACCCGTCGTGATGGCCCGCGCGTAGCGCCTGTCCTATACGTGGCGGACTGAGAATACACTTCCTTCTTGGGAAGTTGGGGGGATGGTTTGTCTTATACTTCTAAACCGGTGGTTGACTCCCTGGCACAGGGAACGCCGATTGGATGCCATACTATCGCAAATTGAACGCTGTGCTTGGCCGCATGCCTGTCGTGAGAAGGGCCGCGTACCGTCTTCAATTGGAAAATTCGCTGGCTGACTTGGCTGTACGGGGAGAGAAGTAAGGTAAGTCGCATTTGGCCTCCGGGGAGTAACTCTTCGAACCAGAGATCGCTCACATTGTCAGATCTGTTGGATTGATAGGCGCACGCTATCGGCATACCAGATGTCGAAAATGGAAAGGTAGGCCCCAGCAATAAGCGGGCGCGGGCGCGGGCGACGGAAAGATACGGATTGGGATATGGGACAATCCTGCATCGCACATTCGGTGTTGGCGTTCAGCTTGATGCACCGGTCACGGGGCGGAAAGCAGATACTGATTCGAGACAATCAGCAATCCGCGTTGCACGGTCGATGGGACACAATTCGGACGACGCAAAGCGCGAGAGTGACTTCGGAGGCCGACAGGACGAGGTCTGTGCAGTGAGAGGTATTTGCAGTGAGAGGTATTTGCAGCTTGGCCAAAGAATCCCTGTCCGGCTCACTTTCCAGTTCGGTGCTGGTACCATGGTCGCGGGCAATATTCCGTTCTAGGTATTGGGCTGTGTAGCCTCGTACTCCTACTGGTTGACCGCCCGTTAGTGTTGATTGCTGGCTGCCGCCTTTCTACACAATCCATGAAGCGTGGTGAACTGTCTGTGACTGTGTAGCTCGAAAGGCTACTAACAATCCACATTAGTAGGTACCCAGGACCGCGCTGGGATCCTTCAGGGCAGTTCTTGAACAGAGCTGATGGAATCACTTCTCGTCCTCAAATTGATCTGTACGGAGGACTTGTATATGGCTCCGGAACCCCCGCACTTCGAGTAGCTTCGAGCCGGCCATATCTCGTCCTTGCCGACTCTCAGTCCAGCGGCAGCAACACTGATCAACCTCGTAGCCTGATCATCTCAACACCAACTCGCCAGTCCCAGCCTCAGATGGACCCCCCCCCCCGGGCCCCCCACCTTCTCACCATGGCCGGGACAACGTCCCAACGCGATGGTCGAGTCTCAGTCTGCAATTGAATGATCGTCAGCCAACACGAGCCATCAATGACCTTAACCTTCATGCAGTACAACGAACCAGAGAAGCCAGAGTGTAAGCTGTGGTCGATGTCAAGACCCGTGCCCAGTAGCAGGAGGTCCGTCTCGTTCGCGTGCTGGCGAGCCTTCCCTTCCCGCCGGAGTGATTAATGGTGCTTTCAGAAACGAAACATAAGCTCGACCGTGCTACATGCGAGGACCGAGTACATAATGTGAGATACCACAGCCTTTGCTACATTCAAACAGGATAATCACACAGCGCTTCTCGAAAGGATTCCTACCGCATACTTCGCTTTCTCCTGCGTCTCTACGTCTATACGTTTCATGCACGTCACTCTCCCGGTGGAGAGACAACGCGGGCCGCACCTGCGTCCTTAGTTTTGTGCTTCAACTGCATTGTGTATCATAGGACCGAGTACCGAGTACAGAGTACAGAGGACAGACCCCGCCCACAGTACGGAGTACCTGTCGAGGAATCCCTAGGTATCGTGACCCTTTTCCCCGTAAAGACACAGATCCAGTCCTAGGGACGTTCTGGCATGTACAGTCAGACTGTGTCCGCCTGATCTTCTCCAAGACTACGGTGCAGTGAGTGCAGTGAGTGTGGTGCTTCGCAGTGAAGCGCGTCCGGACCCCAAATCGCTAATTACATCTCGGGATTAAATCAAATGCCGCCCGCCACGGATTCCGGGGTACGTGCAGATGCAGCCTCGCCTATGAACATGATCATCATATACACAGTACGCTTTGTCCCTCCTGTTGGGGGAAGGCCGAGACTTGGGGATTGTTTCCAGGAGTGAGTGATTGAGTCGGTAGTGAATAGTGAGTAGTGACTAGTGACTAGTGACTAGTGAGTAGTGAGTAGTGAGTAGTGAGTAGTGAGCAGTGAGTAGTGAGTACATAGTGAGTGACCACACGTCCTTCCAGTAGTATGTACTCATCGTCGACGCCACTCTACTTCCGAGCTCGCGATGCGCTGCGTCGAGCTAGACCCTACAATACATACCACGTCTCACGTCTACAGTACATCCTCCGTCCGATGTGCTTTGTGCTTTGTGCTGGTGATATAGGCATTTCGATTTGAGCGTAGGCGCAGAGGGGATGTATCCTGGTCGATACTCCGAACTCTGTACTTTGTATGTTCACAGTATTTCCCACCGCGAGGGCTGGGCGCTGGTCGAATACTCGCCCTCGGAGTACAAGTACATTCCAAACAGACCGGTAAGTCGTAGTAGTGGGGTCTGATTCTAGTTCTAGTTCAGGTCGTATTCACCTCTATTCTCTTAATCAGCGATCTGCAATATCCCTTGTCGAATTTTCTCCATCGTACTGTATGTCGCTGCGCTCGGTCTCTACTCTTCATGCGTCCGCACATGCATCTTCTCCAGCAGATTGTTCCTCGCCCAGTAACTGCGGTACTTCTTCCCCAAGACATACATGACGGGGACTGTCGCGACGAGCCCAAAAGCCACGCTGCCCCACACGTAAAAGGCATGCTGGGCCCCGACCTCGGCGGTCCAGTTGTTGACGAAATAGCTGAACCCGAACAGGATGAGGTTCTTGACCGCCATGCTGGCGATGAAGATCTCGTTGGCCATGCCGCGGTAGGCGTCGAGCGCGTAGTTCGACGTGCCGATGCACACAAACATGACGCCGAAGAGCATGAGGCCGTGCACCGTCGCGCACGCGTACGGCGACGCGCCTTCGGAGACGAGGTGCCCGAACAGCATGAGTCCCACGCCCGCGCAGACGCCGACCAGACAGGGGATCAGGCGGTATTCGGGCTCGTAGACGCCGTTGTTGCGGCGCGCGCACCACTTGATGAACCGGTCGGAGAGCGCGCCCATGATGATGGAGCCGAGGATGCCGCCCACGAAGGGGCCGAGCGACAGGTATCCTATACTGGCCGGGCTGAGGAGGTAGGGCGGTGGGGCAAACAGCTGGGCCAGCACAAAGGCGATGACCACGTAGAGCACGACGAACATGGAGTTGATGATCAGGATCCAGGACACCGCGACGTTGAGAATCACGGCGAACGGAGCCAGGAAGAGCTGGAGGAGGTTCTCGTTCGAGTAGGTGCCGCTGAAAATGGCGAGCTCCTGCACGAATGTCTTCTTCTGGTATACGTGGGCCTCCGCAGGACCGGGGTTCGCGCTCGCACCTGTTTCCTCGGTGTGGTTGGCGGTGCCTGGCTTCTCCATGTCCAGTCGGTCCTGGTACTCGAGCGCGGCGAGATCTTGCAGGTTGTCGTTCTTGAGCTCGTCGATCTCGTAGCGGCGGTCTCGGACATAGCTTGTCTCCGGGACGAAGAGGAATTGGAGAATCGTCTGAATGCCACCGAACAACACAAGAAGGTAGTAGCTGTGCGAGTCAGTTAGTCTCGATGGGCCTCATGGCAGGGGTAAGCTGAGCTCGGGCACTCACAGCCACTTCCATCCAATGTTCGATGCGATCGGGCCCGCAACCACACCTGTCAGGTTGGAAATTCCAGCCAAGATGAAATTGATGGCCGAGGCGTAAATACCGCGCTCGTGGACGAAGAACATGTCGCTGACGAGGGTGAACACCAGAGACTCGTACGGGGCGATCGCGAAGCCTTGAAGGATCCGGGAGGCGAGCACCCCCTCGTAAGTGGTGACGCACGACCCAACGATATCGGCGATCAAGCAGAAGATTGACGCCAGCAAGAAGATGGGTCGAGTGCCCCATTTTCGAGACAGGGCGGAAAACAAAGGCCCTGTCACGCCGACCACGAGCGTCTGATAGCCTGAAGTCAAGACGAGCTTGGAGATGGTCGTGTTGATCTCAATCGACATCTCGAAAAAGGCCGCGTTCAGCATGGCGCTTACGACCGCGGCATAGAGCACCGAGCCCCAGCAGGTGATGCCCAGCGCTGTGAGTTTCTTTGTGTAGGGCCAGTTCAAGGGATCATTTGGATCGTTGGAAGGCTGTGGGACAAGGACGATGTGTGCATTTCCTCCTGTGCCATGCTTGAGGCCGCCGGTCACATCCTGTGAGTGCGCCGCGTCTTCTTCGAGTATCACCGTGCCAGGGACATGGGGGATCTTGGTGTCGTCGAGGATGCCGAGGAAAGGCATGTTGAATGGCTGGATATGGTGATCCGATAGCCGCAAGGGTGAAGCTTATTGCCAGGAGGTCCGCATGGATGGTGCAAGAAGGCGCGGCGTTTGGCCGTTCTTATAATGGGCGTCTTCATTGCTTGTCTGGGGCAGAAAGTAGGTCCTGGTTCCTCGACTCCGTGCCCAAGAGGTCTCCTAGCCTCGTCGGAGGGTACTCTATGGCTGAAGCCGCTTCCCCGAATTCAAATGCTCCAAGCCCCATGAGCTCAAGCCCCACATCTCCGATCATCCACCTCGAGCGATGGTGAACCTGGGGTCTCCTCCGGGGGTCATACGTCGGTCCTTTCTGGCCTGGGGCTTCTCCAACTTCCATAGGTGACCGACACTCCATTGCTATCACCGCTGAGGTTTCATTACCTCCGGAAGGCGGCAATACGATGATTATATGTTGCATCTCGCCGATGCTTGTTGGAAAAGCTTGACTTTGACCGCTTGTGGGTTTGGTGGAATTGCTGCGTCTGTGCCGCGTGGGGTATGAAACTTGTACATATCGTATATGAGGTACAGTATGGACATATCAAGACAATTGTGGTTTAGGCCATGAGCGTCAACTAGCCTACTGTTAGCTGTGCTCTCCCTTCTCCAAGTGACGAGAAGTATAGGCTTACAAAATCCATGAAAACGAGACCGGGTATTGACAACGCTCGTGTCTAAGCCGCCCACTCCGTACACCTTGCTGTCCGTCAAGTGGTGCCACATCACCCTAGTTTCCCTGCTTTTGTCCCAGCTCTGAAATACCAGTAAAGAACAACGGCAACAACATAACATACCAATACACGGCAGTGCAACTCATCCAAAACTGACATTCTGCGATCATGGCAGCGGCCCATGTGCCTCTGACGCTGGCTCGAGTGTTGGTTTCAAAGGTACAGCTCCCTTCGATGCGCCTTTTGCTGGTGCAAGGATGCTGGAAGCCATTTCTCCTCGCAGGACTTGTTCGCGAGTGATTTGTAGCATATCGCTTGGTAAGCCCATGCTCGCGAGAAACTGGACCGTGTCTCTCCACTCAGCCTCTTTTCGCTGCGTGTTCCAACTGAGTTCCTCGGCCATGATGTCAATGACCTTGGGAAGAGCATGTAGAGCAGCTTGCGCGTTCAGGAAACTCAATCTCGTGCGCCTTGCAAGGACGTCCACAGCTGTTTGAGCGTATTCGCTGCGAACGGCATACCGGACCTCTCCGTCAACGAAAGGGTACAACGAGGAAAGGCGCTGACCACGTAGAGGATAGTGCTCGGTGTTGTCGGTCGGAGCAGATAAAGCGGCAACATCCCACGCCCGGTCGCCGTAGTCCGACGCTAAATGCTTTGCGACATCCATGTCGAGACCGAAGTGCTGAATCAAATTGATGAAGAGAGTAGTCGAGTAACCGTGCGCGCCAACCAGGCGGATGCGATGGGTTTGACAAGTGCCGTCCAATAAGCGGACCGAGGGATCGACGCCGTTAATGCCAGCAAGGTCCGGCACGTAAGTGACTGGTTTAGGCTGCAACTTGAAAACCTCAATAGCTTTGTCGACTGCTTCCTCCGCCATTTGTCGGTACGTAGTCCACTTGCCTCCAGCGCAGGTGAGGAGGCCTGAGTCAGACACCGACACGAGATGGCTGCGAACGAGCGACTCGGTGTTTTTGGAATTGGGGTCTCGAACGAGAGGACGAATACCTGTAGTCACGTTAGTAAAAAAAACCCCCTTCCCACGCGACGCCAGCAATCAAACATACCTGACCAGGCAGCAAGAATGTCCGATCTTCGAACATCAATGTCCGGAGTTAGATATGTGCGGATTTCGTCCAAGATCCATTCGATGTCTTTCTCGCCTGCGACTGGATTCTGAGATATGGCACAGGGCGCGTCCGTGGTGCCTGCAATCGTGTTGCCTTGCCAAGGGAGGAAGAAGATGACTCGGCCGTCCGAAGTGGAGGGGTCGATCAAGCCCATCTTCTGAGGACTAAGATAGCCAGGCAGAACGACATGGACTCCCAAACTCGGAGCCACGATCTCCTTTTCGCCGGGCGCGTCCATTTGCCGGATCGCGTCACAGAACGGGCCTGTGGCGTTGATAATGCCCTTGGCTTTGACGGTGAATTCTTCGCTTGCGCCTTGTCCGTCCTTGTCCGCAATGAGATCCCTGACGCGGGCACCCGTCAACTTGCCACTTGCGTCTTTCTCCAGTCCCGTCACTTCAAGGTGGTTGACTGTGGTCGTGCCATAGAGTGTGGCCGTCATGGCCAACGAGACGTTCATCCGGGAATCGTTGTGTTGACCGTCGTAATAGACGAGCGCTCCAATCAAGTTCTCCTTCTTTAGCATAGGAAATGCTTCCAGAGCTTTACTCCTCGGTAGGAAATAGGAGCTCTCTATGCCTTCCGAGCCGGCCAAGAGATCGTAGAATTTGGATCCAGCCCAGAAGTACGGCGCTTGCCACCATGCCTGCAAAGGCAGCATGATCGGGAGCCACGAGGACAGATGGGGTGCTGTGTAGAGGAAGCTTTTCCGTTCCTTTAATGCCTCTCTTACCAGCTGGTATTGGTTCCAATCCAGGTTCCACACGGCTTTCTCGAGATATCGCACGCCACCGTGGACGAGCTTTGTGGATTTGCTGCTTGTGCCACTGCTGAAATCATCTCTTTCCACCATCGCAACCTTCAAGCCTCTTGTGGCCGCGTCAAGCGCAATGCCTGTGCCTGTGGCCCCGCCGCCAATCACCAGGAGGTCATATTCCTCAGTGGAAGGGGCCGAGGAGGATTTCTTGAGATCAGCGATCTGCTCGGCTCGCGTCTTGATGTATGGGAACTTCGGGGGAATTATGTCCCCGTTCTCGTCTCGTTTCGGAGGTTTCGGCGCCAGTGATTCTGCTCCTGGCACGTTCCGAGGCCGGTAGGCAATGTACATGCCCGTCGTGCCAACAATGGCCAGGCCGGTGCCATACGCAAGCGGCTTCAGAAGCCTGCGTGCTGAAAACCGCGATGCCATTCTGGGATAACAATCAAAGAACAAGTGATACCAAGACTCAGCTCAAAAGAAGTAGAGTAGGTCGTTGAACATATGCCAGCACAGGATAGAAATGTCACTCACACCGATGCACAAGGAAACTACCTTGTTTCTTCACGAAGCTCTCAAGGATAGGTGTCAAGCGGGTCCAGCTGCAGTATTTGAAGGGCAGTTGACAGCTCTTGATCGACGCATGGAAAGTATCGCAGCAGGTCGGAGAATGACTGCGACATATTTGCTCGGGGCATAGCCATGGCCGAGACCTGTCAAACGCAGCGCAGTGGCTTGACCCTCCAGCTCCAGGTCTGCTAGGACTCGCGTGTTTGCTCATCATGCACCAGGTGGATGGCAGGTTCTCGTGGACTTAATCAAGTCACCGAGTTCAAATCAGCTCCCGGCTGAGGCGGGGAAATGAACTTTACGCAACTCGGCTTCCGTTCACCGAACTGTAGCTACCACGTCACGTGACAAGATCACGTGCTCAGACCCTCGGCCCATGGACCCCGAGATGCGTCCGAGAGGAAAATTCTTGATGAGATTTCCAGATCTGGGAGGCCCAGCCATTGCCACTGCCTCTAACCATCAGCGTAGTATTTGCGATGGATCCAGGGACGAACTTTGGACGAAGTGAAGGTTAGTCGCGTTCTCACGAACTTCCACCGGTGTGAACATCCGAGGCATTTCGCTCTGCAGCCGCAACGGCATGAGAGCAAGCGGATCATCTCAACAATCAGACACGACGCAGCCTTTGTCCACCGTTGGCTTGGAGGTCGTTGTTGCCGCTTCACCGTGTGACCGCATCTGCCGGTGGTCGAGATGACGACCTGTAGTATCCTTCTTCTGGAGTGCAACTTATCAAAGGGCCCCACAGGAGGCTCTCTGAGGAGACCGCCGGCAGGGTCCGAGCTCTCGAATAGTGAGATTAATTCAGCGCGGGCTACTGGGGAAGCTCGCAGTTGTTGAGAGAGCGCGGTTCCGCCGCCCATGCAGTCTCTTGGGTGCTCAAGTTAAGAGATGAACACAACGTTTGCACCAGCGGTAGCTAGCCCAAGGGTATTCGCATATCTTGCAGCCTTCAAGAACAGCAAATCGGGGAGGGAAACGGTGCTCATATCACATGGCTCTTCGAGCCGGCAAACAGAATACGCCGAACACATGGCGCGAACCTGTTGGTTCGAACTCCAGCAGAATAGCTCGGCCAAAGTGCAACTTTTGGGAAAAGAATCGATCGATGTTCATGGATTTACCACGCACTTCATATCGGTGTCGTCGGCCGTACAACGGTGGCCTCCAATCTATGTGCACCAAGTCTGCGGTGACATGGTGGCACAACGCCCGTGGATATCATAACACGATAGAATGCTGTGCAACACCCAACAGTAATCAGGCCCACTTGAACGTCCTCGACCTTCGTATTGCGACCAACCCGTGCCACTCCTGAAAATGCCGCAATTCACACCTGGCTCTCAGCGTTGTATGTGTTCGACCAGACCGATCGCTTAGGTTGAACAAGTCTTTGCAACCCCAAGTAAGGAGTGTTGATCGGACTCTCTCCGGTGAACAGGAATGTATCGTAGAGGAAGCCTCCGAACGTGCAACCGAGGAAGGGTGCAACCATTGGGACCTTTCAAAATCGTTAGCCGCAGTTCTCGTCACAGTCCACGACGTTGAAGAAGAGCCTTACCCAGAAATAGTAGCCGCCAGCGGACCAGACCTCATGACCATAGCCGATCATGTAACTGACCAAGCGAGGGCCGAAATCTCGAGCAAGATTGATGGCATAGCCGGTCTCCCATCCAAAGCAAGCACCAATGCCGAAGATGACGAAAAAGAGTGCGAGCGGGGTCAGATTGCCTGCACCAATGTTCCCATCGTCCTTCAGTGCGTAGATCAGGAACATGAGGATGGCGCTGGCGATGAACTCGGAGAAGAATTGACCAGTTTTAGTCATGAACGGAGCAGGATAGGTGCAGAAAATCCCAGCTGTCGAAGTCTCGCCACCGACGGTGCGGATATCTGGACCACCCTCGAACACATCGATCGCTGACTTGTAGTTGGCGTAGACAATCGCAGAGGCTACCATAGCACCGAGGATCTGTGCGAGCATGTAGCCGGGGAATTTCCTCCAAGGGAACTTGCGAAAGACGCAGTTCGCAAACGTCACAGCAGGATTGAGATGTGCTCCGGAAATACCACCGGTATAGACTCCTAACATGACACCAAGGCTAGCAAAGTTAGTGAAAGGTAATAGTCGCGGAAAGCTATCAACTTACCCCCAGCCCCAGGAAATAGACTGATAGTCACCCTTTGTACCACCAGAGAGGACAACTTGCGCAACAACCCCGTCACCGAAAAGGATGAGAATAAAGACCCCGAAAAACTCTGACAGAGGCTCTCTGAGGAAGTGTCGGACTCGACTCCATACTAAATCTGGCTCTTGTTGAACGGCGTCCGCTTGTGGGATCTTATGATCGACCAGGGGACCGTGCTCGGCAAAGGCAGGGACCTCAGGGACGGAAGTGCGTCGGCGTTGATCCTGCGGCACGTGAAGATGCTCTTGGTGAGTGATGTTGCCCATGTCGTGCCGTTGAATTGCTCGTTTCTCCAGTGATGCCGAGGAAGAGGAAGTAGACATGAGGGGGGTGACGGTGGCAAGGCGAGCAGGAATTTCTTGCCTCTGTGGAGATGGAGCTTGATGTGAACTGCCCACGGGGACTGAAGCAGGATTATATAGACGGATGCTATGTGGTATACCCCCCAGGTTTCCCGCGGCAATATATCAGGCTCCACTGTGAGAATGGTTGACTCCGTTGCAGGTCATACCGAAAGCCCGGAGGCGAGCATGCAGGGAGCACCCTGTAGTGCTCATTGCGTGCCTTGTATCGCATCTAGAACCAAAGAGTGTTATGGGGCCGGAACGCCCGCGCATGCTGCTGCATGACACGACTCGTGGCGCAGATGCGAGCCAATGAGGCGTGCTAATGGGTGAAGGATTCCTGCCACTCACCTGGCTTTTCTTCAGCCTGGCCTCCAGAACATGGCTGCCGAACTTCGCTCGACCGGACGCCGATATGCCTAAGTTTCAGTCGGGGCTACCACGCCGAGCTGCATAGTACTGTCATGCTGAAACCAGAGACTGCTATAAAGCGATATTTAACATGCAAGAGATAGGGCAAGGGGAAATTGCGTCAAGAGCGTGGGAGTCTCAAAGACGGGGGACCAACGTGCTGAAGCCGACCGTGGGGAGGGTGATCAAGCGGTCAACGCAGGACCAGCACAAGGTGTCAGCTGCTGGTAGTCCTCATGCGTGAATCAAACCATGTTGTCGGTAGCACGACAGATGCCATCTGAGCTCTCAGTGGACCAAAGCATTATGCACACGTGCAGAATACTACGTTGCAGATGAGGCAAGAAGTGAGAAGTGAGATGTGACCAGCTGTTTGGCGAATGAAAATTGGGAGGCCCGGCAGGGCAGCGGAACCAATACCGAGTTCGGCACTCAGCGGAGCACAGCGCAGGCAACAGCAGTCGTGCTACGGCGGAGCATACGGCTCTGAAAGCTTTTCCGCACACTATGCACAATCGAGGTCGCATTCGCACTTGGCACTGCGGGGGTGGCGGGGCAAAGCCTCACATCATCAGCCTCGGCATGCATCTCGCTCTTCAGATGCCCGAACACGACACGGCGGACACGAAGGACACGAAGCATTACCTAGGTACGAGTACCTCGTACTCGTAGTAACTCCGCGAAATCCTGTCTAGGCTCGTCTCGTCCTCGTAGCTGATTTCCCTTCCCACGAGATCCCCCCGCCACGCGGTCGGTGCCCCTGATGTTCAGACCCAGTCATGCATGTGCCCACGGCCCTCCGCTCTCTGCGTCCCCTCCTCCCCCAGGCTAGCTTTGCTTGCCGTGCATGGAAGGAGTCTGGAAGCTGCGGCAGGCTACTCCGTACATTTCGGGCTATTGTTCCCCAGAGTCGGACAAGGACGACGACGAACCCCGAGGCACGACTTGCAAGCTCGTGTAGCATCTCACGCGAGGTCGAGCTTGCAGCTGTAACCCGGCTCATTGGGATAGACCATGTACCGTCACAGGGAGGGTCACGCGTGCTTCGAGCTCGTCAAAAAGCCCACATGCTTCGGTCGCTCCCCGCCCTGTTCCTATAAACATGGCTGCCTCCCCTCCGCAGAATCCCTCCAGGCCTCCAACCCCAGTCTCCAACAGCTCCTCTCGAAGAGGTTGATCGCAGAAGTCTCCAGGCATCTTGATGAATTTATTGAAAAAGGTAGTCACAATGGGTAGCCCTTCCGAACACTTCATTGGCTCGATCGATCAGGGCACGACGAGCTCTCGATTCCTCATCTTCAACAAGGCCGGCGAACCTGTGGCTTCACATCAACTGGAGTTCAAACAGATTTATCCTCATCCCGGGTAAGTTCCACAGTCCATCAGACCAAATCCAGGCACTCCTGACCTTTACGGTGAAAAGCTGGCACGAACACGACCCTTTGGAGATTGTTTCGTCGGTTGAACAGTGCATCGACGGCGCAGTCAAGCAATTCGAAACCCAAGGCCACAATGCCCATTCAATCAAGGCCGTCGGCATCACCAACCAGCGTGAAACGACCGTTCTCTGGAACAAGGAGACCGGCGAACCGCTCTACAACGCCATCGTCTGGACCGACACGCGACACCAGAACCTCGTGCGAAAGCTGAAGCACCGGCTAGGCGCTGACCAGCTCATCGAGTTGGCCGGCGTCCCGCTCTCCACATATCCGTCAGTCGGCAAATTACTGTGGCTGCTCGAGAACGAGCCCAAGGTCAAGGAGGCGTACGAAAAGGGCGTTTTGGCCTTCGGGACCATCGACACTTGGCTCGTGTACAAGCTCAACGGAGGTAAGGACGGGGGAAGTGGCGCGCTGCAGAGTGGTGAGCGGAACGAGCGCTGATTCGAAACAGGCCCCAAGAAGAACGTCTTCGTCTCTGATCCCTCCAACGCCTCGCGCACCATGTTCATGAACCTCCACACGCTCGACTACGACGAGTCGCTGCTCGACTTTTTCCGCATCGACACGTCCAAAGTCGCGCTCCCCAAGATCGTCCACTCTTCCGACCCCGAGGCCTACGGTTCCCTCGCATCCACCGTCCTCAAGGGCGTGCCCATCACCGGCTGCTTAGGCGACCAGTCCGCCGCCCTGGTCGGGCAGAAGGGCTTCACGCCGGGCCTGGCAAAGAACACCTACGGAACGGGCTCCTTCATCCTGTACAACGTGGGCGAAAAGCCCGTGATATCCAAATCCGGCCTCTTGACAACCGTGGCGTACGACTTCGGCAAGGGCACCAAGCCAAACTACGCCCTGGAGGGCTCCATCGCCGTGGCCGGCTCGAGCGTCAAATTCCTGGTGGACAACTTCAAGTTCATCGACAAGTCGTCCGAGATCAGCCAACTGGCCGAAACGGTCGACGACAACGGCGGCGTCACCTTCGTGACCGCCTTTTCGGGCCTCTTCGCGCCGTACTGGATCGACGACGCGCGGGGCACCATCTTCGGCATCACCGCGTACACGCAGCGGGGCCACATTGCCCGCGCCACGCTCGAGGCCACGTGCTTCCAGACCAAGGCCATCCTCGTGGCCATGGAGAAGGACTCGGGCCACAAGCTCAGCGAACTCGCCGTCGACGGCGGCATGTGCAACTCCGACCTCACCATGCAAACGCAGGCCGACTTGATCGGCATCCCCGTCAAGAGACCGGCCATGCGCGAGACCACGGCCCTGGGCGCCGCCATTGCCGCGGGTCTGGCCGTCGGCGTCTGGGACAGCATCGACGAGCTCAAGCAGGTCAACACCGAGGGCTCGACGAGCTTCCAGCCCAAGATCTCCAAGGAGGACGGCGAGAAAAGATTCGCACAGTGGGAGAAGGCCGTGCAGATGAGCAAGGGGTGGGCAAACTAACAAAAAAAAGAGGCGGGCGCCACGTACAGAGTATATTATACATATTCGGTTACAGAGAACTGATGATCGGGCTCCATATATAGCGGGCGTCTAAAAGGGTGATGAAGAGATGTTCACGTCCACATCCACATCTGTGTTTGGCTTCATCTTCGGCTCTTGTCTCACTAAATGCGACGTGCCCGCCACGACGCGACGGCACGGCAGAAGCTATACGTGTGACTCGTGACAGGTATCCCGCCTACTCGCCTCTACCGCGTAGTCAGGAGGCACGGACCGCCAAGTTGACCCTTCATTTTGAAAGATTCCAAGTGGTCATTCCATTTGCGCAGGAATCCCTCTGCATGCCAATTGCGCTGGCCGTTCTCTTCACGCCGGTTACCGGCGGGTATACCTTCCCTTCCCGTCCCCAGCCAGGAGCATAGCATAGCATAGCAGGCAGTCCAGTAGATACCAAAATGGACCAGTCGGAAAGGCCTCGTATTCGGATATATATTGATGTGATGATCCTATCGGCTTTGCCTAGGAGAACAGCCTCAGGACTGCGCGCCCTGGGATGAACGGGTGGCTTGGCTGCAGATTTGTACCTTCCTTTTGAGGCTGGGTGTCATGGCCAACTGGTGGTCATCTGGGGTGCTGGACAGCATCATGTCTGCCTCCTAAGTGCCCAATCAGATCGTATCCAGGTATTACTGATGCTGGTGCTGCTATAATCGTCCCTGAGATCTGCATGGCATGATCACGCAGCAGGAAGATCACATCTAACCTTGCACAGTTTGACAGGTCGACATCCCAAATGAAGTGCCCGTGAAAATTCGTGACTCGCTATGGTTTCTGCTCCGAAAAATAGCCATGACTAGCCGATCAGCCACGCCCTGACTCATAACGCTACTCGTAAGGCGGCTTGAAGATCAGCCAGTCGCTCTCCGGATTAGGTACAACAAAGGCTGGCGTGGCGCGGGAGTTCGGTGGTTGGCCTTGCGTGGGTGTCGTCTGACTCTGGTTGGTGACCGACACGGACGGATCGAACCCGTTGCTCGCGGCGATCGCATTGAAGCGAGGGTAGTTGAAAAATTCAAACACCTCGAGATACTCGAGCTCACTCTGCGATGAGTTGTGCGTGGTTACAGGGTCGAGGACGGACCGCGGACGTTGCGAGGTCATGAGGTTGAGTTCGTATGCAGCCCTAGTCAAGAGAAGAATGAATGAGTATCGAAGGCAGCCAGTAACCCGCAACTCTCTTTATGCGAGAAGGGAATCAAAGGAAACGGTCAGTGAATCTCACCTCCTCATGGCTGTGAAAGTTCTTCCTGAACCAGTATTTCCTTCTTGGACCACGTCGTTCAGAATCCTGGCGTAGGTTCCCGCAACTTGCCAGTGTTGTCCCATTTGTTCCAGTGTGGAAATGAAGAACATGATTTTCGCGTCGATCTCACATTCCATGGTTGCGGCGTGGACGATGAGCAGTCTGGCTGAAACCCACAACGCAAATGCGAAAGGGTGGCCCAGCAGAGCGAGCATGCCGGTGTTCATCACGTCTTGGGCGATTTCGCGTAGGCTCTCGACCGCACCCAAGCACCGCTGGATAGCGTGGTATGACGGTGTAAAGACGGGGGACTTGATCGTCGGGTATGCTGCCGACGAGTGAAGGCGAATAACCGACGTGACGAACGCAGCATGGAGCATGATCCAATTTGAGATTCTGCTGCCGGGGTCTGAATGGCAGAGCTGAGATATCTTACCGTATTCGCCGGGCAGATTCTGCAGCCAGTCGTTCAACTCTGCGTCGAGCTCGCGGTATCTTTCGCGCCATCGTTGGATGTCGGGGTGGCGCGTGATGTCAAGTGGCTGGTGTAGAAATCGGTGGATGCGACTCAGGATCCCCAACACCTCGCAGTGGTACGAGAAGCTTCCCAAGTTCTCTGGCTTGTTAACAATCATTTCAGACGGCACCCCTGGCCGGCGCCACCGTGTCTCGACAGGCTCGTTCCTGGAAAACAGGTCATAGCGGCAAGGAAGACATCGATCCATCTCTCTTTCGTCAAAGATGAAGGTATCCGCGGTGGCGACGGTAGCATACCGGTCGAGAATAAATGTCATCCAGCACAGTCGGCGGCGCTCTTCGTTCTCGATCCACGACTGAGGCTGCGACGCCTGCAAGAGGGTTGCTGAAGGGTATGCGCTCGACTGGAGGTACGTTGTTTTTTCGACTTCGAGGCCCAGCTGAACAATATTCCGAGCGATAAGCGCCAGCAAATTCCAACCTTGATGGCCGTTCGACGTCCCCAAGACGTCGACCGCCAGAATGACAAGAGCCTGAAGCGCGCGAACACTGGGATGATCAAGCGCATACATCATGATTTTCTGCCTCGATATTTCGTGAAACTGTCGCCTCGCTTCTGCCGTGAGACGTGGATCTTTGGAGAACCGCATTGTGGCCGCGACAACAGCATGCATCAGCGCCCTGTCCGAGTCGCCCATTGACTGGGACCCGAAGAAAGCATCGAAGGTGGCTTTGCGATCCAAAATGGGCGACCAGGGATTGACGTGCTTGAAGTACAGATCGACCAGTGTGTACAGCAGGTCATACGGAGGCAGCTCCGACTCAGAGATGGAGGGTCCTGGCGTCGAGGTCGGATACCAGGCACTCGACGGACCTCTATCGCTTTGCGACATGATGTCGTGGCCGCCCACATCGACCACCGAGCGAATAGACATGGCATCCTGGGGTCGCGGGTATTGCATTCGTTCGTAAGCATTCGCAACCGAAGGCCATCTGGACTCCGACCTCGGCGTGTCTTGAGAGAGTACACTCGCCGCGGACGGCCGAGGATCATTCTGGGCATATGCATTGAATTGGGTGCCACCCGGTTGATGCGGCGTCCGTAGAGAGCTCTGTCGGTGAAGAGGCGACAGGTCGCCGTGCTCAGCGATGTGATCTTCAAGTCGACGGCCCTGGGCGTGTAGAAGGGCTTCGAGGCGATTGATCTTCTCCTCAAGCTCGCGGCCATATCCCACCCGAAGACCGGGTTTCTGCCTTTCCTTGTAGACACATTCTCGGCCATTTCGGGCACACCAGCCACAAGCGGGCTCTGCGCGGTCGCATTTGACCTTCCTGTTTTTGCATAGCTCGCAGCTTCAGGAAGAAGCATTAATATTGAGACTGGAGCGACGTTGAGGTGAGGCAGTTGCTTACGAGATTTTCAACGACCTCTTCCGCTTTTTGCTGGCGGTCCCGTTCTCCAGGCCATCCTCGGGACTGTCATTCTCATTCTCGGCATCGCTGGACAAGGGTGAATTCCGCTCCTCGGAGGCGTCGGTAGGCGAGGTTTGCGGACCGTTGTAAGTTGTCATTTGCGCAAGTCACTGCAGCTCCTAGGCGGCGCTCCTTGCAGCTTGCAACATTCACAAGCTGGTTAGGGAAGCTTATGCAGACCAAGGCCAAGGTAACGTGGAGAATGGCACTGCGGAATCCCGAGCTGGTGAAAGAGTCAGGCGACAGGAGGCGAACCCCACATCGAGGCCCGCAATTTGCCCTGCACCCCAGGCGAAGCCACGCCGTTACGTTCTCGAATGCCGGCAGGCCGGAGTCCCAGTCAGCATCTAAGCGTCCTTGGTGTCCTCACCCTGGCTGAGCTGATGCTCGCAGACCGTGGGGATAAGCCGTATCAGTACGGGGTAAACGAGGGCGTAAAGCCGGTAGGACTGCGCGTCTCGGGCTTACAGGGAAACAACATGAGGAACCAGACGGCGACACGTGGGAAGACATACCCAGTACGGCAGTAGATACGATTGAGTCGAGCATCTCGGGACGAAAAGGCCTTGACCCGAGATTGTGCGTTTGCGGGCCTCGGATCGACCCTACGGAATAATGTATTTCCGTTCCGTTCCGTTCTGTTCCCTCCGCACGCATCATCATCCCACGCCTCCTTATACTTATACCTCAGCAAGAGAACATGTTAACAAGGACACCAAACAAGACTTAACTAGTCCTCGCATAATCCGGAGTCTACTGTGCATGCGGCATCATACTCCGGACTCTCCATCCCCCAAAGACTAACTAATCGCTGTGTCCTCCACGAGTCCACAATGTCACAACTCATCAACCCTGCCGACGTCCGCACTCCGCCCTCCATCTACTCGCACGTCCAGGTCACGCCCATCTCACCAACGAGCAGTCTCGTCACCATTGCAGGCCAGATCGGGGTCCCGCCCAACTCTGCCGCCGCGGCATCGACTTTTGCTGAACAAGTTGACATAGCTCTTGATAACTTGAGAAAATGTCTCGCAGCCGTGGGGGCCACCCCAGCCGATATCATCAAAGTCACGCACTACGTGGTCAATCTGGATCCGAAGGACAAGTCCAGGCTTGAGGCATATACGAAGTTCATTGGTGATCATCGACCGCCAGCTACGCTCGTGGGAGTGGCGGCGCTGGCCTGGCCGGATTTGTTGTATGAGGTCGACGCTATGGCTATTGTACAGAAGTGAACGCCACGTAGATCGCGGTAGGGGATCTAGTGCCGTGAGGGAAAAGCAATGCGCCGGCGCCGACGCCTGTGATCGTCGTGGCCGATATTACCCTTTGTCAAATCAATGATCCTGCCCCGTCAAACACCCGAGTCCTCCACGTCCTCCACCTTGGCTTTCTTGCCACTTTCAGCATGCGCTGCCTCGTCCGTGAATTCCACCTTCCGCTTGCCCAGGCTCGATCCACTGGCGACCGTTGGCGCAGCAGCAGGCGTCGATGCGGCAGAGCCAGGTCCACTACCGCCACCGTTGCTCTCGGTTGTTTTCGGCTTCTTCCGCTTGACCATTCCCGAGATATCAGTCGCCTTCTCCGCCACCTGGGCTAGCTTCTCCTGTTTCTCCTCTTCAGTCACACCGCTCCCCAGGAGGCTGCCCAGGACACCCTGGATCTGCTGCTTCATCTCGTTTTCGGACTCGGCCTTGACGCTAACGGGTGGTTTGCGCAGCTCTTCCAGCCGAACTTCCATCTCAGCGATCATGTCCTGGACGTCTTCGATTTGCGCCATGGCCTTGTCCTTTGCAGGACCAAGGTCCAGTTTGTCTAGTGCTGCCGTCTCTGCTGCAACGCGCAACTTGCAGACATCGATGGCCTTCTCTTGCTGGGCGATAGCTTCGTTGCGAATCTTCCAGTCGACCAAGAGTTTGCCAGTTGGATTGCCCGCGGCGTCGCGTTCTTCTGAGCTGGCACTGAATTCCAGCGCCAAACTCAGCTTGTAGTGACATTCGGCTAGGATGCTCGATTCAGGGCGCTCGAGCTCTTCCCTCAGCGCAAGGCACGCGTTCAGATTTGTGGCTGCATCCGAGTACTTTTCTCCCTCGAGTTCGACTTCCGCTTGCAGATCGTAGATTTCCGCGACACGGGCTTTCAGCGATTTGACCTCGGGAGTGAGATCTATCGACGCCACGTATTTGCCCTTTTCAGAATCCTCCATTGCGTGTTCCTGACTCTGGTCCAGCTTTTTGAGATACAGCACACGCGCCAGATCCAGAAATTCATACGACGTGGCGAAGTCATCATCATCCTCTTCTTCCCCCGCCTCCCCATCTTCGTCTGCTTCGTCGTCTTCTGAATCGTCCCAACCTTCGGCATCGCCTGAGATCTGAAAGTAGGGTTTGTCCGAGGCCGTTTGTGGAGGCCCTTGCACGTCCTCTCGGGGCACGACATCACCCACGTTTGCTACCGAGGTTTGGGGTGCCGCAGACGCGTCTTGCGAGGTCGCGCCATTGCCACCACCGTTACTTGCAGATGCCTCCGCCTTCGCTGCGCCGTTCGCTTTCCTCTTCTTGCCCGGTTTCTGTGCTTTGCTTGAGGACAGTTGCGCAGACGCCGCTGTTCCACCCAGCACAGAGCTGGTCTGTTGTGCGAGGAAGAACAGGCACTTCCCGTAGGAGTAGTATAGGTCCGCGTTCTCGATGGCCATTTCGCCATTGAGTTCGGCTTGCAGTTCGGTGGCTTGCGAGTACAGTTCTGCGGCCTCTGAGTAGTGTTTGACTGCATATTCTGCTGCTGCCTGCGCGATGAGCTCGGTAAGCTGGGCGCGTTTATCGGCGTCCGCTGGAGTGCCAGAGGTCTTGTCAGTCGCGGTCGCCATACCGGGCTCCCCTTCGTGCTGCGGAGCAGGGACCGTGGCTGGAACTTCGTCGCCGTTGGTGGCCATATTCATCGAGGAAGAGGATCGGATGGACGGGGTAAGGGTGTGTCGTCAGACTCAGAGAGATGACAGGGAGATTTACCGTGTAGGGAACGAGACGCGCTGACTCAAGTCCGAGGTGATGAATTCAACGCCTACAAAGTAAGTAAACGTACCTACCTTTAGTACGAGTTACAAGCGCGTCTCGCTGGGCGAAGGCCGATGACGCGCTTGGCGGGTGTCATCAGGACCGTCGGATAACCTTCCTTCTCAAGCCAAGGGTGGTAGAGAGTGCGCACCGTTGTCGATCCATGTCTACGGAGTACACGAATCACCATCAACACCCGGGTCTAGTTCACTATTGTGAGGGCCACGTTCAGTAGGAAGTAGGGTCCTGGCATGCGAGAAGCTGGAGGGGTCATGGGTCGTGGCTGTTCTGCAGAAATCCTTTCCCCCCTATTTTCTGCGCCCTACTGTTGGTTGCCGTTCGGCGGACATCTGAGTTCGTATACAACAATTCGTCGCGGGTTGGCAAATGGTTGGATCGCACGTTAGAATGGGATCCAGCTCATAGCAGTACCACGAAGCAAGGTGTTCTCGGAATATATAGCACGGGCCCGGACGGGGCATGGGCGCAATCTGTAAGTGTCAGAAACCGGACTGGTTCACCGGTATTGAAACTGGTTCCTTCAAAGCGATAGCTCGGAGCAAGTTGGGACTGCAGAGAGTCTCTTAAAGACCCAGGAAGTCTTCAAAATTGTATTCGGCACGTTGAAGCCCGATTCTTTCCTCAATGTCCTGAACTCTTGCGGTAGAAGCCCCCGTCTCTTCCCAGGTTTCCTCCCAGCTCGAGACCATCACACTTGCCCTAGTTGCCAGGATTACTGGATGTCCGACACCATCTCGACTCGGTAATCACGCCAACCAATTTCACCATATCTTTCTGCATCTGCAAGGCTGACAGACCCGAAACAACCGCTCTTCGAATTCACGTCACTGGAACAAGCCGCCCGGCAGGCGGGCGTCTGCCGCAATCCCTACCAAAATGCGATTCCTCGAGAGCTTTGAGACGCTGACAGTTACCGCCGGCTTTGTGGCTATCTTTTCCGCACCCCTTGGGGGAAGTTTCTTGTTCATGTACAAGATGGTGCAACTCGAAAACGAACGCAGCAATGATTGAAATCGACACCTCGAAAGGAAGAGAACGGTGAATTTAACCAACTCGCAGCTCCAAAATATGGACTAGGGAATTCGCAGCAATCTGGCGTGCCGTTTCCAAAGAAGCCAGAAGAAGACACGGACAGATGGTCGTTGGGATTTGACACCCCAGAACGACGGAGGGTGAATACGTCAAGACGGCCATTCACTCCAAGCACCGAGGACACTGAGACCGATGAGCTTGAAGCTTGTTAGAGCCTATGTGTAGCTCGTAGGGGTTCAATCAGGGTACTGTGTACGGAGTACGTAGACGGAGTAATCTTATCCTGGAGTATGAGGCGAAATGTAGCGGCGGTTACTGGGTAGATGACTAAATCGCTCAGCGCAGGAGAGCGCGGAGTAGTGAGCAGATGGATTTAAAAGCGGCACGAAACCCCGTCAGTGAGAGCGGTTCGTATGTACATATTCAATTGAAATGAGTATCCCGTCGCGTTATGACGCGTCGCCGCGGCCTTGAAACGCGTCACGCGTCGAGGCTGAACTTCTGCCCGCTCGCCTACCACAGTTCGCCTGGTCTGAACCATAACATGTGAACGACTTAAGCACCAGGCGACGATGGAGGAGCCTATATCGACTCCAGGGCTACCTGCACGGACATTCAAAGCGGCCTCGAAGACACCGGCGAATGACCAAGTCTTCTCTTCTTCGCCCGGCTTCGGCACGCCTGCATATCCCATTAAAACCCGGCCACCCAACGTCGCCAACCCTTTTGCTGCGCACTTGAACGCAAGTACAAGTGTGCATAGCGCCCCGACCGTCCTACCGATCCTTCTCCCGCCCCAGACTTTGAGACCCGTTGCGTTCAGGACGCTCACAAAGAAGCACAACCTCACACTGACCTCGTCCGGGCTCGGGCTGCTTTCTACATTTGTCGGCAGATACTGCGGAAGCGGATGGCGGGAAGAAGGGCTAGCAGAACGTGTGCTTGATGAGATAGCAAAAGCATGGAAAAAATCAGGTGGCGGCCTGCTCATCGAGGATGGGCCGGACAAAAAGCTATCCAACATCCTGAAGACTCTCGAGCCATGCATGTCCGGAGGACGGCTGGATACAGGCAAATTGTCCCGCACCAATAGCTCCGTTGGCAGTCCAAGTCTATCACGGTCTGGTTCATTTGCGAACCGACCTGATGTGACCAGAGACGACAGCCAGACGAGCCTGGGTATCTCCGCCTTGGACATGAATGACAAGGCTCCCGGTGACAATGGCGGAGAAGACGACTCTCATCCTGATATACGATCCTACCTGAGACTCATCTCGGCATTTGACCAACCTCGTTTGATATACTCAACGTCCAAAAAGTCTCTAGAACCGGCTAAAGGCACCGCCAGCCTCCTCCCACCAATCCAGCACAAAATTTCCATGTTCAGGAACAGATACCACCTCGTCCACCAGCGGCTAATGAGAAACGAATCATTTCAAGCTCCCTCGTTTGCAACGGCAACCCGACCACCTAGTCTGCTGCACTCAGCCAGCAGCCTGACAACCCAGCAGAACGCCTATAAAATCACGCCGATATCAAACCTGCTAGGCCGATCAGGCACTTCGCATCTTCTGCTGGGCATGCTAGCCCACTCCGCAGCCGGCGACCTTGCCCTTACAGATCTCTCCGGCAGTGTTGTCCTAGATCTCTCAGTCGCCCGTCCAGTCCCTGAGGACGGAGCGTGGTTCTGTCCCGGCATGATCGTCCTCGTCGAGGGCACCTATGAAGAAGACGGCTCTCACAACTCCAACCTCGGCACTGCAGCCGGCGTGGGCGGCCAGATCAAGGGCGTATTCGTGGCAGACACGCTAGCCGGTCCCCCAGCTGAAAGGAGGGCACTAACGCTGGGCATATCAAACGCCATCGGCGCTCAAACGCTGCACACGAATGTGGGTGCTGGGTTCGGCTGGATCGACTTTCTCGGCCTCGGGAGCGAGAAAGCAATCGGCTCGCAGATGCGGCGGGTTCAAAGACGTATCTTCGGCCCATCACCACAAACACTACCAATCTCCATCGCAGCGGCAGCTGACGAAGACGAACAAGAATCCGAACCGCCTCGCTGCAAAATCGCCATCCTGGGAGAATGCACCCTCGACTCCCCGCGCACGCTGGAAGCAATCCGCGCGATCCTTTCCTCGTATCACACCTCCAGCTCTGGGCATGTCTCTTCGCTGCCCCTTTCTATAGTCCTGATGGGCAACTTCGTCTCCGCGGCGAGCATGGCCCGTTCGACCAAGGGAGGCGGCAGCGTCGAATACAAAGAACACTTCGACGCCCTGGCGTCGGTGTTATCGGAGTTTTCGTTCCTACTGGCAAATGTAACCTTTGTATTTGTGCCAGGAGATAATGATCCCTGGGCGAGTAGCTTTTCAGCCGGAGGCGCGACGATGGTCCCGAGAATGGGTGTGCCAGAGGTGTTTACCAGCCGTGTGCGACGTGCGGTGGCGACCGCGAACACGGAAATCCACGGGACTGGAGGCAAAGACAAAGACAAAGACGCCGTGAAAGGAGAAGTCATCTGGGCGAGTAATCCGGCGAGAGTGTGTCTTTTCGGCCCGGTCGAGGAAATCGTGCTCTTCCGAGACGACATCACTGGCCGGTTCAGACGACATGCCGTGACATTCGCGAGGGCCGAGGGAGAGGATGAAGAACAGCAGCAGCAGCAGCAGCATGGACCTACAACAGACTCGCAATCACAATCGCAAGCGCCATCATCCCCGGACGGAGACGACAGGGACGCGGACGTGGACCGTGACGACGAAATCCACGCCGCGGCATCACATGTCCCTGCCACGAAACCGAGCAGCTCACCCAGCGTGCAGGCCGCCAGGAAACTCATCAAGACGCTGATCGATCAGTCCCACCTGTCGCCTTTCCCGCTACACGCCCGGCCTCAACTTTGGGACCATGCCTCCTCCCTGTCTCTGTACCCGCTGCCTACTGCGCTGGTGCTCTGCGACGCCGAGATGCCCTCCTTCGCCATCACTTACGAAGGATGCCACGTCATGAACGTCGGACGGGTTATCGACGAGTTGGCGCTCCGGAAGGATAGCAGAGGCAGCGGCGTGGCTAGGTGGATTGAATATGATTGTCGGAGGGCCCGTGGCGAGGAGAGGAGCGTTAGATTCTAAGGAGCGCGTAGAGGGAGGGAGGGAGGGAGGGATGGAGTAAGTAAGTCTGCTCGTGCGAATACAAGACGCCAAACGCCAAATGCTGAAAGCTGAAAGCTCAACACTGAATGTTCAACGCTAATGCCGAGCGCCAAATGCCAAACGCTGAGCGTCAATCCTCGGATATTGATATAAGTATAACGGGTCATGATGAAGAAATGAGTATCAAGTCGTGTTATCTCTTGACTTGCCCTTCCTCTTCCTCTGGCTCGTCCTCTTTCCTCGTCCGTGACGGTTGGTCTGTATGTTCTGAAGTCCGGCTCACTCCTTTGGTATGATATCCTTTTAAAGGGAGCGGAACCTCTACATCTACACATCGCGAAGATTGATATCCTGGAGTTAATATCCACCCACGGAGCGTGCATTATACTCCTTATCCCGAAAGCGAAGCAAGTATAATACACGACGAGGAGGCCGACGTGTCCGTTAATTTCCCCCCCTTGTGCCTCGAGCTCGGTGCTAGATCAAGCTTGCCACAGATTCACCTTCTGCTTCATTGCTTCAGCCCTCACCGTTCCAGACACGTACACCACCCCTCGGCACAAGGTCGAATATCATTGTCGAAATCCAACCGTAACCACCATCCGCTGCCTTCGCCAAGGGTACCGACTTCGCCTGGGATTTCGCGCTCCTTGACGCCCCGCAGGGCCGTCGCGATGATGAAGTCCTGATCATACGCCACCAGTTCGATCTCGACGTCCTCGACTCTCCTGCCCTTGAAGAGCGTCGTCATCCCGCGCTCCGCTTGGTCGGGCGGTGTCCATTTCGCGGTCTCTGTCGGTTCGGGGTGGTGGTGGTGTTCCTCTGCTGAGAAAGAAAGGCGAGGCGATTCCAGCAACGAAGGCGTCGCCGGTGAGTCCGGGAACGGGGAGAGATGCTCGTGCGGACGGACGTGCGCCGTACCGTTGGTCAAATTGGTTGCTGGGAAAGACAGTTTTCTCGGATCGTGCGCCGCGTCCGTGGGAGTCAGGGATGAGATGGACGGGCGGTGCTGCGCGTACATGTCCGCGGCAGGGATGGAGGATGTCCTACGATGGGCTGGGGTGGTGGTGGTAGTGGTGGTGGTGGTGGTGCTGATCTCGATTGGTGGCACTAGGGTGCCAGAGTTGTCTTCGGCACGCCTACCATTGGTCCCGTTGGCGGTTGTAGGTATGCTAGATGCCCCGCCGACATCAAGGACTGGCAGTTCTGGTAGTGATGGATTCGCACCAGTTGAGTTCCTATGGGCAAATATATCCGCCGAGGCGGGCAGTGGAGTTGTCTGGTTCTCGAGGATTCCCTTGGTAACGCTACTGCTATCCCGTCTGGGGCGGTGGTCTGGTAGTGGCGCGCTTGAGGCTCGTGGATCTCGTTGCTGCTGCGGTGGGGGCGGCGGCGGAGCATGCACGTCCAGGAATTCCAATTCCCTCAGCCAGCTGGCCAGGAGACCTTCGCCGACCATTTTGATGTACGCTTCTTTCAGACCCCAGTAGGCGTAGAAGCGCCTCAGCTTCAGGCTGATCATCTTGGCTTCATGTTCCCTGAAGATGCTGCTGTCGCCCTTGCCGTCCTTTGGCGACGATGCCGCGGAGGAGTTTGAGTCACTCCATTCGCCTTCTTCGCGTTCTTTGACGGGCACATGGATCGGTATTTCGCGCATGTGTCTTCTTTCCCGGTCGGAGAACATCTCCGCAAAGATTTCGATCCACTCGTCAAATTTCGCCTGCGTGGTCAGGTCTTTGGGCGTCCGTTTGTCTTCATTTGTGCATGCTATGTCGACTCCGAGGCGAATGATGTTGCAGTCCTCAAAGGCCGTGCACGTTGGGTGGGTGTTGAGGTCTATTTGAGCGAGAGAGTCGAGCACGGTAGGGGAGGGAGGTCCTGGATTCGGCATGACGGACGCAGGAAGTTGAGCGGTGGGCGTCGAGCAGCCGATGATGGTGACCAGGCCTGCTTGATGGGAGACGTTGAACTCAAGGCCTCTTATTTGACATGGCTCGCCGTAGATGGGATCACTCTCATCGTAGATGTCGGTGGTGGACCAGTCCTCTGGTGGTTCCCAGTACGGTCGTCGATGAGGAGCTGGTGTCCGTGAGATCTGCACCTTACTCCAGGGGACTTTGGCCCGCCGGTGAATGAATGTGTACTTCAGCAACGCGCTGGCGAGAGACATGAAGCGATCAGCGGGCCGAATGAAGCGGGTGACTGCTTCTTGGTCCGCGCGTTGCAGCGTTGAGAGTAGTGGCAGCGAATGGAGTGATTTGGGATTGTGCGGTTGAGGGACATAGGGCCGGGTATCGATATACCACCGATTGATCGTGGTTTCGAAGTTTTCCGGACAATGGCGCTTCATCTTTGAATGATATTCAGTATCTCGTCGCTACAAAGACCGAGTTGACAGAGTAAGGATACTGAGAGCTGTACCGCGACGTGTGGTGAGTCGTCGGTGAGGGTGATGTGACTACCTCTGGTGTCTTTGCGTCCTGTCGACGGTTGGATACAGCGATGTGGCCAGCTGAAGCAGATTAATGGTGCTGATGCTGATCATTGAGGTGCCATTCGCCGAAGAGGGTCCAGTCATTGGGGCTATCGCCGAGTCGTTCTTTTAATGACTCCGGCTTGTATCGCAGGCTGCTCTTGAATATAGCAAAGAATCAAAGCAAGGCGTCTAGAACACACGGATTAATGAGCTCACCACCCCGGTGAAGTAGTCATGATTCAGCAGCAAGAGATCGCGGTCGGCGTCAAGCATCACGCATCATATCTTATTTTAGCAAAGGCCGAAGATGGGCTCGGAACAGGCAAAAGATCAACGGCAGCAGAGGTTCCACGAGGCTGATGTTCATTGAGGGCCACGAGTGCCTGCGGAGTGCCTGAAACCATGAGCCCTGCATCCTGATTTCCTGCCGCTATTGGGTGGGATGAGCATCAGGATCCGCCTGTGTCCATGGGGGCAGATTCTCGAGTCAATCGTCGGCGAACGACGAGTGAACGAAGCAGGCGGACCAATCAACGCGCAGGCGAAATGTCCCGGTCGAAATAATTTTCGTGGCGGCGAGAAGCGGCTGTCATGGCTGCCGTGAGTGGGTGACTCAGGCAGCGCAGAAAGATATCAGGGAATTGAACATTCCTTCGGCCTTAGTCTCTGTTACACATGTCGCATCAATGACAATCACCGTCGGCGTACTGGCCTTGCAAGGCGCTTTCTTGGAACACTTGGTCTTACTGCGGCGCGCCGCTGATTATCTGCGGAAAGAAGGCCATGAAGCCGCCTTCGAGTTTACAGAAGTCAGGAACGTGAAAGACTTGACGCGGTGCGATGCATTGATTATACCTGGCGGAGAAAGCACCACGATTGCGCTTGTGGCCGCTCAGTCAGGCCTCTTAGAACCACTGAGAGAGTTCGTCAAGTACGTGCTCTGGCCTGGACGTGTGCTTCACGCTGATAGCTGACCCTTTCACCCAGAGTCCTCCGCAAACCGACATGGGGAACTTGCGCTGGTCTGATTCTGCTTGCCGAAGCAGCCAATGCCACTAAGAAAGGTGGCCAGGATCTCATAGGTGGGCTGGACGTCAGAGTGAACAGAAACCACTTCGGACGGCAGGTTGAAAGCTTCCAAGCAGACGTAGATCTGCCGTTCCTCGACACAAACGGAGACAGCTCGAGGGCTCCCTTCCCAGGAGTATTCATCCGAGCTCCGGTCGTCGAGAAGATTCTGCCCAATGTCGAAGGCATCCAGAAAGGAGAACAACAAGTGGCCGAAACCGTGGTCGCACCATCGAAACCTGCCCAGGATGACCAAGCAAGGTCGGCAATGAGCTCTCATGTTGATATCATGGCCAAGTTACCTGGTCGGCTGAAGAAAGCTGCTGCAATGGGTGCCGAAGTGAATGCTGGTGAGGAAACCGGGGATATCATCGCGGTGAAGCAAGGCAACGTCTTCGGAACCAGCTTTCATCCTGAATTGACGTCTGACATCCGGATACATGTTTGGTGGTTGAGGCAGGTATTGGACGCTCTTGGGAGGTCGGACGGTATCCATTGATGCGGGCAATAGATGAGGAAGCTCTGCGTGATAGGGGGGTCGGAGTCCAGGACCGGTGGCCGTGTGGAACCTTGTATATAGTGATATCCATCATCTACCACTGCCGTATTCTTCCTCCTCCTTTCTCCGCTCCGCATCAATAGCTCGACCATAACCTCCTCTACCTGGATCGAACTCGTCCCGGTATTCGTCCCTTACCTGTCCGCCGGACTTGCCTCGGCCATATTGTCTGCCTTCTTGAAATCCGGCGTCAAGGTCGGTTCTGATGACTCGTTCGTCAAGCTTCGTCCCCCCAATATACTTCATACAGTCGAGCGCCTCCTGGTGAGTGTAATACTCGACGAAGCAGAAGCCGCAGGGGGTCTTCTGAAACCGATCTAACCCCATGACAAGTCGTTTGATCTCGCCGCACTTGGAAAACAGCTCGTGGATTTGTTCCTCGGTGGTATAGAAGGACCTGCATGCGCGTAAGTCTTCGGCCGAGTAGTAAGGATCTTGAGACGAACAGATTGCCGACATAGATGGTGGTAGCATCTTTCAGAAGGTCAACCTCTTCTGGCGGCTTGTCATTCTCCTCGTGTTGGTCTCGCCCATACTTGCCCCTCTTCTGCTTGCGAGTCAGTTCAGGCTACTCCTCGTGGCAATGAAGGGATACCACGTACTCTAGAAGAATAATATGTGCTAGGCCTGTCGAGCCTTTCAACTGTAGACATGGCTGCTGATTGCGTCTCAATGCCAGCGTGGATGATTGTTGGTGGTCAGCAAAGGAAAGTCACCAGAAGGTGAGCGACCAAAGAAGCTGCGGCGCGCCGCGTCAAAGCGCGACAACCTCATTTTGGTTTTCACTTTCAGTTGCGCAACAACACCACCTCACTACAAATTGTCCCTTGCCGCTGCCCGGGACTCTGTCATTGCTATGTCGTCCTAATACACAAGTCTTGGGCTTGCCGACAATCCGAAAATGCCTAAAGTAATTGGATACACTCCGCCATACCTCTGCCGGCCGTCTCCAGGCTCCAAGATCTTCACCGACCCAGAACCGCAGTCGCCCGTATCTCCCTCCAAACGCTCTTCCTACATCGGTGACCCTTCGCAGGCGCAGTATCAAGGCCCTAGAAGACTGGTTGCAAGCAGAGGTACAGAAATATTTGCTGTCGTGGGCAACAAGATCAGATGGGCCGATCTTGCGACGGTGCGAGATGACTGGGAGGAAAATGCAAGGTCGGGCCTTGGTCTGTCTCGAACTGACACAACAGAAGCTGCTGAGGGCACAAGCTACAAGGTAAGCCGCTGGTTCACCCTGCGCCGCACGCGGTTGCTGACAGACATAGACACTTGCTGTCCCTGTCTACTACCAGATCCGCCAGATCTTGATATCTCCATCTGGCTTCTTCCTAGCCATTTGCACTGAGCACACTGTCCACGTGGCTGTCCTGCCCGATCCCTCACGGTTGAAAGAGCGCAGCCAGTCTTCGTTAAAGGTCAAGACATATCAACTAGGCCCTACAGTCCACGTTATTCCGGAGTCTCCACTGGCATCGGTGCTATGGCATCCCTTGGCTGATGCTACGACCACGACCGACTGCCTGGTCACTGTCACTGCCGAGGCCGCAGTGCGACTATGGGAGTTCGACAAGTTGAGCAACTGGTCCCTTGACCGCCCGAAGCTGGCCATTGACTTGCGAAAGCTGGCGGATGGCGTCTCCTGCGACCAAGACTTTGAGCCGTCTGGTTTTGGTAAGACTCGCGGGTTTTCTGTCGATACCGTTGATATGGAAGTTTCTGCGGCTTGCTTTGGCGGCAGGTCCGAGGATGATGAGGATGCGTGGGCGAGCATGACCCTCTGGGTGGCGATGAGGAATGGGGACATCTACGCTTTATGCCCACTGTTACCGTCCAGATGGAGGCCAACGTCGACCACTATTCCTTCGCTCACCACAACAGCTATATCTCGGATGGCTTCGATGAACGACGATGAGGCAGACGTGGACGAAAGACGGGCCGCTCAGCAGCAGTATGAATGGGTTCAGGAGATTGACAACGAGGAGCCCGAGATCCACCAATCCACCGATAGCCTTGGACAGTTTGAGGTGCGACTCAGACCACAGCAACCGAGTGCCATCCCACGTCTTCAAGGACCCTTTACAGTCACCCCGGAGGACGACGACACAGAAGTTGAGATATCCGACGTGTACGTGTTTCCCGCGAGACTGGATGAAGAAGATTTATTCGATGGCGAAGACGAAAATGGGCCAGAAGTACCATCGGGCCCGCCCATTCCATTTACCACCATCTGTGTTGCCACACCCGAGAACCAAGTCTCATTTGCTATTGATCTTGACGGAGTGACCGGGCAGTGGCTTCCAAAGAAGGGAAAAGGTGCATTCAGTGTCCCTTGTTCTGACGCCAAACCACTGACACTGATCGACACGGTACCGCTGGCTGAAGAAGCTAGGAACGCAGCAGTCAATTGGCCCATCTTCACCCCGGATATCGTGTACCACCACTCGCTTTTCCTGACCACAGCTGACCATGTCTATTCTTTCTCATTGAATGACTGGATAACCCAGCTCGGCGCCGAATTGGCCGGAAGTCAGCCTGTTGATCCCGGCCTTCAAAGAAGGCTGGAGATACGGTGCCAGAATTCGATCTCTGTTACTCACAAAGTGATTGACACAAGTGAGCCGTCGGAGATTCTTTCCGCCCCTGCTGTTGTCGACGACGAGTCAGTAGGCTATCTGCTCCTCGCTTCCACCGGTCATGGCCCTTATGGAGTTGCCTTCGATCGAGACTATCTCAGCGGTTCCACTTTCGAGCCTTTGTCGACAGAGCCCTCCTCATTTTCTCCAAGCCGTTTCAGTTCTCAACTTGTCAAGGCAGCAGACGCGGACATTGACCTGGTCCCAGCCAGGGAGCCTTACTCCCTGCCGAGAGTCTTCTATCAGAATCAACACGCCCCCATTGATTCTCTGCGCAAACAATTGCCAGCACACCTACGGAAGGCTCTCACTGATCGGCCTATGAAGCTCAGTCCTGCTGCACTTGAGATCATGACCTTCACCCACCGCGTAGTTGGCGTGCAATCACACCTCCTGGAAACCGCAGCCTCAGAACTGTTCCGTCGATGCGAGCGACTACGCGACGAACTTGGTAGCCAAGTCAAGCAGATGGCTGAATTGGCGGACCAGTTGCAGCGCCTCTCTGCTACCGAAGGGGAAGATGAGTATGGCAAGCCATATCGCATCAAATCCCCTGACGAGAGACTCCAAGAAGCACGGGAGAAGCAGAAGAAGTTAGTGGCAAGATACGAGGCCTTGAGGAGAAAGGTCGGTCGAGTCGGGTCAGGGAACAGAGATCTGGGTTCGAAAGAGCTCGCTTGGATCGAAGAAATCGGTGCTTTAGGAAAGAATCTTGGTATTGTGACTGAAGAGAAAGAGGAGCAGGGAGGTTCGTCCATGGACAAGAGGCTCGACACTGTAAGTCCGCTTTTCTCCTCTCGAGGTACTTGCAACTCGGGCAGACAAGCGATTACTGACATCCGAGCCACAGGTGAAGAAACTTGCCCACGACCTCGTGGAGGAAGCCAACCTCGTGTCCAAACAAACCCCCTCTCCAAATCCTCCGCCAGCACTTGAAGCATCCACATCGTCAATCTCTAATTCATCAATCACGCCATCAATGTCGGCGTCCCAAATAACCGTCACGTCGCGATCGAGCGCTTCTCTTCCGGGCCCCACTTTGTCGGCTGGATTCGGCGTGCCTAGTCGGTTGCAGAAAGAACGCATCGCAGACGTCATGGGCATGGTTGAGAGGGAAGGCGCGGTTATCGAGGCGGCGATGAAGCGGCTGGAGAGGCTGAAGGTGGAGTACTAGCAGTACTGGATGTTGATGTGGCGTGGTGTGAGGGTTCAGGAAGGGACCAAACCAGATGAGATTATGAGCGAGCCGAGAAAAGCGCCAGGCAAAGGTCAACTATTGAAACTGTACGAGCGAAATGGGTTGAAACTGGTCTGGAGACCTGTGTTCAGAGTTGAGCGAAAGCGACGTCCACTTCGCTTGCAGAGCCACAATGGGCGCCACCACTGGCTGTTGACATGCTGGTGCTCGCGTGCCAAGTATGGTGTATTATCGACCTGATTGTCGAGCCTTCTTTCTCGTCATCGGCTCAAGATAAAGCGCACTTTCCCAGCCAAAGTAGACTTTGCTATAATAGGCCGCCACCACATCAACCTATTCACACATTGACAAGTTCCACCTTTGCCATCCGCGCCAGCATATCATTCCTCCCGGCACTCACACTCTCGACGACGTCATTGCCGAACACGGACAGCGCATCCAGAAATGCCGGGATGAAGGAGCCCGGACCTTTACACGCAGCGTCTTTCTCGGCGAACTCTGCTGCAAGTTCATAGTGCAAGATGCCCGCCAGCGTGGCCACGAACTTGTCGTCCGGATGGAGCGCCACGTAGCTGGCGACGACGGCGCCAAGGGCACAGCCTGCGCCGGTGATCTTGCCGAGAAAGGCGGACCCGTTGTTGATGGCGAGGGTCCGGACCCCGTCGGAGAGATAGTCCGTCTTGCCGGTCATGAGGACGACGCACCGCTCGCGCTGGGCCAGGGCCTTGACGAGCGCGGCCTTGTCGGCCTCGGTCGCGGTGGAGGGCCCGGAGTCGACGCCTCGTTGTTGGGTCGTCGACGTCCCTGCCACGGCGCCGATCTCGCCCTCGTTGCCCTTGATGACGCTGAAGAAGCCGCCTGCCAGGAGGGTTTTTATGGCGTTGCGTCGGACAGCCGTGGCGCCGCCGCCGACTGGGTCGAGGAGGATGGGGCCCCCAACGGCGTTGTAGGCCCTCATGCCCTCGAGGAAGGTGGCGATCTTGTCGGGCGTGGCGGTGCCCATGTTGATGACGAGGGCGCCGCCTAGCTTGGCCAGGTCGGGCGCCTCGGGCCCGTTCTCGGACATGATGGGCGAGGAGCCGGTCGCGAGGCAGACGTTGGCGACGAAGTTCTGCACCACCGTGTTGGTCATGTTGTGGCAGAGTGTGTTGGATGAGACGTGCTTCTTGATAATGCTGGGGACTTGCGTGGTGAGGGTTTCGAGGTCGGTAATCGCGTCCTTCCCGGGCGGGACAGCTGCGTAGAATGTGTCCTTGGACGATCTGATCAGGTCAAGGAGGTTCCTGGCCGCGGCTTCGGGGTTGGTGGAGGCCATGATGGCACTGACTACCGCGACGCCGTTGAGGCGGTTTGTCCCGGCAGCAGACTGATGGAGCACTCTTTGAACGTTCGAGGCGTTGATGCTGCCGATGGCAACGCAAGGGATGGACTTTTCTGTCCCCGTGGCGCAGGTGGATAGGATTTCATGGAGTCCTCTCGTCCCGATGATGTGTTTCGTGTCGAGTTTCGTCGGTGTGGCAAACGTCGTGCCGACGCCTAGATAGTCGGCACCCTCCTTGATGGCCTTTTCTCCTTCCTGCGGTGATGAGGCGGTAACTCCTATGATGGCATCCGGTCCCAGGATCTGCCTGGCCTGTACCATGTCCATGTCGTCTTGGCCGATGTGGACTCCCTCTGCACCAACCGCTTGACAGACGTCGAGCCGGTCATTGATCAGTAGCGGGACATTGTATTTCTGGGTGACGGTATGGAGTCTCGAAGCGACTTCGATCATGGCGCCGGTGTCGGCGTGCTTTTCTCGATACTGAACGATGCCAACGCCGCCACGGAGCGCCTGCTCGACCACCTGCACAATGTCCTTATCCGCAAGGATTGCTGGGGTGGAATCTGTGACTAGGTATAAAGACCAGTCGATGCTGGTCTTGAGCTGTGGTTTTGACGACATCGTGTGACTGGCCTGACCGTCGGAGTGTTGAGTCAAAGAAGTCACCGGCCGGGATCGCGCACATTGAACCTATTTTCTGTGCTTCTCCCAAGAATGGACTCACTGAACTGCAAGATTCACCGTGGCACGGGATTGATAGTTGGTGGCTCACGGTGATTAGGTGTTGAAAGAAACAGAAAAGGATGTAGCGCTCAGGATTGTGTCATCAAATGATTAGCTGGTGAGGCAGGAAAAGCTTCGACTTCACTGGCAACTAAATGCGAGACTGTGGAAGCGAGTCACCCACGTCGATGGAGATTCATCTGCAGTAATGGCACCTACCTTGTGATTCACCTGAGATTCGAAGAGAGGTGATTTAGAGACTCGATGAGACATGTGGCCCGTGACATGATATCGTGAGGCAAGTCAAGTCAAGACAACGACAGCTGGGCCTAAGTCGCAGGCTGCAAGTGGCATGTACGCGGAGGTACCTACCTAGGTAAGCACTTCGAGCTCCCAGTGCATAGGGCGCCTAAAGTCTGGGTCTGGGTGACAATTCCCAGGCTGCAGGCACCCGAACCAAGCGGTCAGGCCTTGTCTGTGCAGGGCTGCAGTTGCTGCCTGCCGGGTGAACAAAGACGCAAGCAAGCGGAGAGTCCATTGTTCGGCAACCTCATGCATCTCGGCTTCTTGCTGCTGCAGTCAATGTTTGCGGTCCAGACTCCTGCTGAGCATCAATCTCATTTTCATCCATCCAGTCACGCAAGCACACCGAGCCCTCCTGTTGGGTGAAACGGATCCTGTTTTCCGAGTGACACCTGCACAAATTTTTAGCGCAAGCCGAGCAGACTAACCAAGTCCTTCTCCGTAGCATCGCCGCAGACACTACTCCGTACTTGCGCTTCGCCTCCCGACTTCTACTTTATTCTTTTCCTCTCATCATCATCACTACCACTCTGTCAAGAAGTCGAGATTTACTCGCTCTCGTCAGACATTTTCATCGTCGGAAGCCTTGCAAGCTCAACAACCATCGCCCTCTGAGTCTGCCACCGCTGCCTCGTACCATCAATCCACCAGCGCCATTTCGCTTGCGCTCCTCATCCTATTGGAAAGTCAACGCATCACGGTCAAGCGCAGCCCGGATTGTTCATGTATCGGACGGTCTTCCCCTCCTCCAAAACCAAAATCAAACAAAAGCTGGACATATTTCCGGCCAAACGACATCGTTGTAGTGTCGCCAGATCCTCCTATGGTTGATACGCTGCATCAGACGCCTTTCTTCATGTTATATTCCATTATTCAGTGGTGATTTCCCACGCATGTCTGGTCAATTTGAAAGATTCGCAAACACCTGCATCCACGCCAACAACCTGTGAGCCTTTGTCTAGCCCGAAAAGATCGACCTTTCTGGTTCAACTGTTCAGTACAGCATTCCAGAAGACAAGACCAAGGGAAAGAGAAATAAACATCCCTCACAATGGCTACTCTCAACATCCGTCGGGACGTTACCGATCCCTTCTACCGCTACAAGATGGAGCGCTTGCAATCCAAGATTGAAGGCAAAGGCAATGGCATCAAGTAAGCGGAATCGAGTCTAGCCCACCCAAATTCGGGATACTAACAGTATCGCTAGGACTGTTGTGGCCAACCTTCCCAGCGTTGCAGCATCCTTGGCCCGGCCTCCTGCCTATGTTATCAAGTACTTCGGTTTCGAGCTGGGTGCGCAAACCAACACCAACCCAAAGGACGACCGTTGGATCATCAACGGTGCCCATGAGGCGTCCAAGTTGCAAGACTCGCTGGATGGCTTCATCTCCAGGTTCGTCCTCTGCAAGTCCTGCAAGAACCCCGAGACCGAGATCAACCTCAAGGATGGGCACATTCTGTTGGACTGCAAGGCATGCGGCCAACGCACCCAGGTCGACCTGCGGCACAAGTTGAGTGGATTTATTCTCAAGAACGAACCGAAGGGTGGAAAGAAGACCAAGAAGGAAAAGATGACTCGTCGCGATCGAGCCAAGGCCGAAGCTCAAGAGAACGGCTCCGCGAACGGCGGCAGTCCCCATGACTCCAATTCCGACAAAGGAGATGTCGATGGCGACGACGGTGTCGTGGAGCTCGAGGCTGGGAGCGATGACGAGTTCACCAGACAGATCACCGAGGGTGCCAAGGGGATTGAGGCCAAGGCCGATAAAGAGCCCAAGGATGACGAGTGGACAGTCGACACTTCCGCTGAGGCTGTGGCTGCTCGTGCCAAAGAGCTACCCACTGACCTCAAGAGCTCTCTTGCGTTCGATGACGACGAGGAGGGCGAGGAGAATGGGCACAACGTCTACGACCAGCTTGGAACTTGGCTCATCGACGAAACCAAAGCTAAAGGCTCCGTCACCAAGGTGGACGATCTCGAAATCTACAAAAAGGCCAAAGATTTGGGCATCGAGAACAAGCACAAGACATTGACTGTTCTGGCCCAAACCCTCTTCGACGACAACATTATCAAGCAGAAGCAAATCGAGAAGCGTGCCAGCATGCTCAAGACCATGATCGGCGAGTCTGAGAAGCACATGAAGGCCTTCCTCGGCGGTACCGAGCGCTTTGTCGGGAACGATCACTCCGAACTGATCCCTCTGGTCCCCGCCATCCTCATGTCTTACTACCAGAACGATCTTGTAAGCGAGGAGGTTGCGAAATCCTGGGGGCAAAAGGCCAGCAAGAAATATGTCGACATTGGCACCAGCCGCAAAGTTCGTAAGGCTGCTGAGAAGTTTCTGCAGTGGCTGGACGAGGCCGAGAGCGACGAAGAGAGTGATGATGAGTAGATTTGCGACCTTGCATTCTACGAGTCACCAGTGTCTTCGGCGTGTTCACGCCTCGACATGAAGTCTATCCATGCCCCCAGATGGGCCGACACACTCTCTCCTCCGGCGCGCGGGCTTGTCTTTTGCTTGTAAACTGTTCTTGGTCACTCCTTTTACTCGCTGTGTTGGTGGTACACAGCGTTGCGTGTCGTCAAGTCGGGTCTAGACCTGTCTTTACGGGGCCGATCCTGTAGCTAGAATCTCCCTCAATTGAAACCAGAATGCATTAGATCGCACGGGAAGGTTTTTTTTTGTTTCTTCATTAGAGTTGAGCATAGCCCGTCCTCAGTCTCGTGTCGCTCCCCGTCGACGTCGCCTCACGCCGATGCCCGCCCACAGCCTGCCGATACGCGCCATACTCGCGCCTATACCGCCGCAGGTCCTCCTGCATCACACCGACGCGCATCTCCAACCTGGCATGGTTTTCCACCAGCTGCCTGACGCGCTCGCGATTATTCCTCGCATCAACCCAGTGGAACCAAGTGGTCACCAGCGTGAGGAACAGAACCACCACACCACTCTACGCTGTGATGATCTGCTCGACGGCGCCCCGGTTCGACTGCTCGGCCAGCTGCAGCGTGCGCTCCTGAATCGCCAGACTCCTCTTTTGGACGTCGGCGTTGCGTCGGGCCACTTGGTTGCTCTCGCTTTGGGCGTCGTTGCTCCGTCGCAGCAGGTCGACGACCTCGACGAGCATGGCCCGCGTCAGCTCAAAGTCCGTGTCCAGGGCGGATTTTGCGGACTCGACAAAGTCGTCGATCGTGTCGAGCAGCTGCGTGGTGCCTTGTTGTTTCTTCTCCAGGTAGGCTGTGTAGGCCAGGGCGAGGCTTTCGATGACCGAGGCGTCGATGGCGTCGAGGGTGAGGGAATCTTGGATGGGGAGGGCGTGGACTCGCGCTGGGATTGGGATCGGGATCAGGACCGGGGTGGAGAGCAAGGCTACGACAAAGAGGAGGGCCAGATACCGGAAGAGGAGGCGAGACGGGAAGAAAGGCTGCGGCTTCATCATCGAGCACGCTACGTATGGGTACGTAGAAGGTAAGTGTGCTGGCTGGCACATACTGGACTTGACTGAGTGTGCGAGTACGCTGTGTAGAGATGTTCGGATCGTGAAAGGTAGCAAGTGAGTGACTGCACGACCGAGGAGAGACGTCGGGACTGCCAACTCAGCTGGTGTAGTCAGTGGTGCTGATGCTTGATATCGCCAACGTGGATTAAGGACGTCGTGTGAAGAGGTACGAACCGAACATCCAGCCTCCTTCTCTCACACTCATACGTCCTGTGTGTGCTGTCGCTACTCTCAGGCGAGTTTGGAAACTACAGAAACCACCGCTCCTGCACGAGGCCTCTGTGATTTTATCACTGGACGCCGAGTTTGTCCTTCCAGTCTGGAAACACCATCGGTAGCCTCTGGGGCATCTGGCCCGGCAGCTCCTGCTCAATCACCTTGACCAACTCGTAGAAGACCACGTCGTAGCCCTTGGCCGTGAGGTGGAGCCCGTCGATCAACAGATCGCCCAGCACTTCGCTCCGAGGCGCATCCTTGCTTCCTGCCAGTGCGTCCGTCGAGCCTTCCGTCCAGCCGGCCCTGCGCATGAATGTGGTCCACAGATCCAGCACGGGGAGACCGCACTCTTGGCCGACTTGGAGCGCCGCACGCGCGTATTTTGCGGTATGTTCTGCTGTGCGGTCACGGCCGCCCAGTTGATATTCATCCACGGGTGGAGGCGTGATGAGGATGACTTGCGTGTCGTGCAGCTTGAGGGCTGGATGGGAGATTATGTCCTTCAGGGAGGAGATGTATCGCTGGAGGGGCACGTGCTGGGGTTGTCCGGGGACGCAGGCGTCGTTGGCACCGAAGAAGATGGTCATCAACCTGATGCGCGCGACCGTCTGCGAAGGCACACTGTCCGCGGGGAGGAATTGCTGGAGGACCTCATGGCCCATCGGCGCGGTGTAGCCTGAGAAGCCACGGTTGATCACGTCGAGGCGTCGAGAGTACCATTCTGCGAGGCGGGCCGTTAAGGTCAGGGTGGAGAGTTGTGTGATACTGTCGCCGAGGAGGATGAATTGGGGGTAGACGCTCGGGTGGGGGGTGGTGGGGTGAAGAGACGACGTTGACTGGGAGGGAGAATGGGACATGGTCGGAAGGGGGACAGTGTACGAATAGCGTGCGAGGACGAGAAATGTCCTCAACGGCGTGTCGTTGTCTATCAACTGCAAAACAGGCTGTGGTGTACTGTGGTATCCAGTGGTATACAGTAACGTACTCAATATCTCAAGCGATGTCGAAACTCGGAAGCGCTGCACCGAGCACGAGCCTCTGCGGGCTCGTTAGTGGCTTCGGCATCGCCTAAACATGCCCGGGCCTGGGGCTTGGTGGTCCTGCAGGTGCACAATGACATGTTGGTGCAGCTGACGGGGGCGCCCCGAGGCTTCTTACAGGCCCGTCTCCCCCATGGATATGCATGTCATCGTCACGCCCCGAACTTGTCGCGGGCTCATCCAAATTGTTTCCAACCACCCGAGGTTGTGTCAATGCCTTAATCGGCGCTGTCGAAGCCCAAGCATCCAATTACTCCCGCGACTATCAACACGACCGTCCACTTGCTGGGGCAACACCTCGTTTCACGTCGCGACGACGAGTCGTTCGGAGTGTCGGCACTGGCTGTTGTGCAGTGCCCAGACTGCGCGAGACATTCCTCCGCATGAGGCCGTCCTCCCATTCGAGAGCGCGCCGCGTTCGTCGAAATCCGTCAGATGATTGATGCCACTGCCCACTGGGTCGTTCGAGATGTGTCGTCCACCTGATCAGATGCCTAGTCTTGATACTGAAATCTTCTCCGGGATAGGCACACCCTCTTCCTGCTTCCTACAATTAGCGTGGCCCTCCATTACTCACCCTTTCAACCGACCATTGTTCACCCAGAGGTGATCGCCGGGTCACGCTTGGCCGCCCCGGATAAAAGTCATCCTGTTGATACTGCTGACCCTTGATATCCTCGAACTGAGTCAGGAACCGAATTCTCTACGTCTTGCACGCCTTCCACGAGACTATTATTGATACAGCTTACCTTCCCATGACCAGCTGACGGCCTTTGGAAGGCGGTGGCTGCCTGCAGGCGGCGCCGTGACCTTCTTCTTCCTGCCTCTGGTGTAATTTGGCAGTGGTCCTTTCTACTCCTACTACTACTCCTCCGCCTCCTCTCACGTTGATGCTGCCACGATGCCGAAATCCTTTGTCTCTTTCCATGAACCCTATGAGGCTGCCTCCCTCCCACCTTCCCACTCGACTACCACGCCGTCGTCGCCGGAGACGCTCCGCAGGTCTAGAACTTCGCTTTCCGCAATTGAGCCGGGGCCACGGCTACCCCCCTCACTCGCTATGACTCCCAAAGACACAGAAGAGACTGCCCTGCTGGGGGACCGCCCCGGGTTAATTCGCAGGTACACTGGCGAGAGCACACCGGGATCTCCGCGGTCAAGACAGCTTTCCAGAGTGAACAGTGCGAGTGGGAGTTTACGAAAGCGGAAATATGGTGCGCGACAGTCGGGCAACGCCAGTCCCGTATGGATGAGAAGCTCCGGTCTGCGTACCCCTAAACTTTCTTCGTCGATGTTGGCAAGCTCTTTGTCGAAGGACGACCGACTTTGGTACGATCAGTTCACGTCCACGGACTGGGTCCACGATAGCATCGCGGACGGATATCGAGTCCTCGAGCTGAGGAAAAAGAGGGGTTGGCGAGGACGTCTCGCTCTGCTTCTCGACTCGGCTCAAGGATGGGTTCTCGTGGCTATCATCGGAGTCGTGTCTGCCGCACTAGCATACTTTGTCGACGTGACCGAGTCTGCTATCTTTGATATCAAACGCGGCTTCTGTCGAGGTGCTTGGTATCTTGGCAGAACCAGCTGCTGCGGTGGAGAACGCACGTGTGACAGGTGGAGGAGCTGGTCGGAACTCATTCACCGTTCCGGGATCGACGACGTTCACATTGACTATCTGGCATTCATCATCGGGTCAATGGTGCTTGCAGCCTTGTCCTGCTTTATCACGTTGTACTCGAAGACTGTCGTGCCCTCACACATAGCTTCCACCCTCGACGAGAACCTCGGAGCGGTCAGGCAGAACATCAACGCTGACGCAGACGAGGACAAGTCATCGGGGGTCCGACGTCCAAGTCAGGAGAGCACGGTCCCGGCAAGCGTATATTTCTCGGCCGCCGGAAGTGGCGTGGCGGAGGTCAAGGTCATCCTCAGCGGCTTTGTTCTGCACGGATACCTCGGCCTTCGAGTTCTGGTTCTCAAGACCATCGCTCTCGTTCTGAGCGTGGCATCAGGGATGAGCTTGGGCAAAGAAGGCCCTTATGTGCACATTGCCACCTGCGTGGGCAACATTGCTTGCAGGCTCTTTACCAAGTACAACCTCAACGACGGTAAGAGAAGAGAGGTTCTGTCGGCGAGTGCCGCCGCTGGTGTCGCCGTCGCCTTCGGCTCGCCCTTGGGTGGAGTCCTCTTCAGCCTGGAAGAAGTCAGCTACTATTTCCCTCCCAAGACTTTGTTCCGGACCTTCTTCTGTTGCATTGTTGCGGCGCTTTCACTCAAGTTTCTGAATCCGTATGGCACGAACAAGATTGTGCTGTTTGAAGTCCGTTACGTGACGGATTGGCATTACTTCGAGCTCGCCCTGTTTGTATTAATTGGCATTGCAGGCGGACTGGCCGGTGCACTTTTCATCAAAGCATCTCGCTTCTGGGCCACTACGTTTCGGCGTATCAAAATCATCAAAACCTTTCCAATGTTGGAAGTTCTACTCGTGGCCCTGCTCACGGGCTTGATCAGCTTCTGGAACCGATACACCCGGCTAGCTGTTGCCGAACTCTTGTTCGAGCTTGCCAGCCCTTGTCAGCAGAATGTAGGAAATGGGCTTTGTCCTACGACCGAGGATGAAATCCTGCAGATTGTTCGCTACCTCAGCATTGCATTCATCGTCAAGGCATTTCTTACGACCATCACCTTTGGTATCAAGGTGCCCGCCGGCATCTATGTGCCTTCTATGGTCGTCGGTGGTCTCATGGGACGCATTGTTGGTCACTTGGCCCAATACGTCGTCTTGAAGTTTCCAGACTTCTTCTTATGGTCGCATTGCCGAGATTCCGGAAACATCGAATCGTGCATTACACCGGGAGTCTATGCCCTCGTGGCTGCCGGCGCCACCATGTGCGGCGTCACACGCCTCTCTGTCACCTTGGCCGTCATCCTGTTTGAGTTGACAGGCAGCTTGGACCACGTGTTACCCTTCTCATTGGGTGTTCTTTGTGCCAAGTGGACGGCAGACGCTGTCGAGCCGCTGAGCATATATGATTTGTTGACCGACATGAATTCGTACCCTTTCCTCGACAACAGGACCACGCCGGTCTTTGACTCGGAGCTCGGAGACATCACACCCCGATTCAGAAGAGACAAAGTGATCGACATCACACTGTCTCCTCTTGTCAAGGCGACCGACCTCCGGGCTAAACTTCGACGCCTGCAAAATCTCGGTGAGCTAGATGGCGGCTTGCCCATCCTCCGCAACAAAGTCCTGGTGGGTCTCATCCCGGCTCCAGACCTAGAGTTTGCTCTTGACAGGGTGGAGAATGAGGAGAATGCATTCTGCTTGCTCTCCTCGGAAAACCACGCGCACAACTCCCATTTCCGGCTTTGGGACTCGTTTGAAGAGACAGGATACGATTCAGGACGGGAGGAGTCTGGCAACGAAGAAGCATCCTCGGGCGACCCTGCGGACCTTACGCCTTACATTGACCCGGCGCCGGTGGCACTTGATGTGCACTCCCCAATGGACCTGGTTTATCAGTGCTTCGTCAAATTGGGACTGCGGTACATTTGCGTTTTAAGCGAAGGGGAATTTCGAGGCATGGTCCACAAAAAGGCGTTTGTCAGATACATCAAGACATTGGAATCCAGCTCGAGTCTTCGCTGAGTGGCTGGCGAAGAGTGGCATAGGGAGTGTGCGGAAGCGACACAGACTGCATTACTAGGAACAGTGCAAGATTGGCATCTGCAGATGGTAGGAGCATCCTCTAGCGTTTGAGCTGCATTAATAGAGTTTGCATCCTTCTGCATAAGCATTCGAGGAGGTCTGACGGCGTTGGGAATGTCATTGTTGGTTCCGGAGACATGTTCTGTTTTCATCATGACTCTCAGAGATTCAAGAATAGTGTGGAAGCTCGTATTGGCCGGAAGGATACTGTCTAAGCTCACACAACGACGAGTACAATAAGGCAGTAGTTCATTTTATCATGAGGCAACAAGGGTGTTTGGTATGACGTGACAACGAGACGACAGGTAATCGGCTATACAAGGCCCAAAGCAGAATTATCGTGTAGTACGCAGATCTAAACCTTACAGAACAACACCTCTTTAGACGGTCTAGATCTCAACTAAGCGTGGTTCTCCAATTCTAGCCAAAGTCTCTTACATCGAACTCCTACTCGCGCAGGACTTACTGCCGCTTCCGCATGCACGGCCACGGGAGTGGACACGGAGACAGACAGAGAGACAGACCTACCCATCCGACATATTCATTCGCATAAAGCAAGGTCCAAACCAGACGATCAGGTCAGGTCGCTTGTCTGTCTGTCTGTCTATCTGCATATTGGCTGCGGTATGCTTTTGCTTTTGCTTCTGGGCAGCTCGACGATGTTGGCACGTCCGTTCATTTGATTTCATTTACTGGTGCGGTATTAATGGAACGATGAAAAAAAGGTTTGCCCTTTCACGCATGCCGTCCAATGTGCGTTGAGCTGGATGGGGCTACGTAGCTACCTACGTATGTATCGGTTAGTACTGTAGTCGATCGAGGTGGCTGTCGAGTTCGGTTCCGGCGTTGAAAGGTCTGCATGGTCCTGTGAGGAGGGGAAGGTAAGGGAAGGTAAGGCAAGGTAAGGCAAGGAAAGGAGGTATTTTGGGATATGTAGTGTACTGTGTACTGTGTATGCTGTCTGCTGTCTGCTGTCTGCTCTGTGCTATGTGCTATGTGCTATGATGTGTACTGTAATTCGTCGGGTGGACAGCGTGAAAGTTGTCTTCCTTTCCTCTTATCGGAGACATAATGGCTCCCTTCCTTTTCCTCTCACCGGGGCGCAATGCATCTCTTTTACTTTCTACTGACGGGAGATGCACAGGCTCGCTCTATCGCGTTCCACTCGGTGCCGACGCATAGACTCTCTGCTCTCGCTTTCCTCTTACTACAGACGCATAGACTCTCGTCTCTTACTTCCCACTTCCTACCGACACATAGACTCTCTTACTTTCCACTCGCTGCCATGTACAGGCTCAGTCTCTTATTTCCACTCACAGCTGATTCACGGGCTCAGTCTCTCTTATTTCCACTCACAGCTGATGCACGGGCTCACCTCTCTTTCCGCTCACAGCTAGTGGCGTTCGACGACTCGACGACATTTGGGCTGTTGAATCAGCGCCGGTCTCCGTTCGCCGCACAGGCCGCACGCGAGTTCTTGGTTTGGTGTGCAACTCCCAACTCTAACGCACGTTAAGACAGACCATCTTGCGCTCGGACACCAGAATCGAGAGTCCATCAGTCATAGACTGTTTTTCTGTTGGCCGAACCGCTCAATATGGGTCGGACATACGTCGAGTTGAACGACTGCCGTGGCAAGGTCAGACGAATAAATGCAGGTACCGGTTGATAAGAAGCTCTCTTTCGTGAGTCTGCTTGAGGTCAGCTTCGTGGTGTCCACTCAGCTATTACGACTTTAAAGGGAACTTCTGCTGCTGATTCTTCCTTCCTGCAAGTACTTAGTGTTCGTCCGCCACCACCAACACACCTGTTCTCCGGCTTGACTTTGAAAAGCACTGTAACGATCGCGCCTCCTGCATATATTAGCACCCGGGTGACCGCCAGCACCACCGCGCCGAACTTCCCGTCTTCACTCTAGACGAGACCCCGACATGACATTCGCCATGCCGATTGCAGAACAAACAGAGGCTGTTGCCGCTGAAGGCATCGCTAGTTCTATGGAGCACGTGGAACACGTCACCTCCGTTGGACCGTGGGCTCTCCGACGGGACAGCAATGCAAGCTGGGCGGCTATTAGTAGTCCAGGCGCCCGTTCCAGCAGACGAGGCCCTATATCCAGTACCATCGCAAGTCCGGGCTCGGGGACCCCCCACTCCCGCAACCCGTTCAGCGACGCATTCGGCGCCAGCCTCGTCGCCAACGACATCCATCGGAATCGGGACACATCGGAGGCGTCAAGTTCAACGGCGGTGGGATCGAGTGTAGGTGAGAGACACGCTCAAGTTGTAAACGGGAAATCAGAGTTTACAAGGACCATAGAGGAGGTGGACCGCCAGACGGAGGAAATCCAGCACATCCTGGACGGGGAGGCCATTGCGGCGAGCAACGATGAGGCCGAGAGACGGAGGTACAACGAGGCAAGAGCAGAGAGACCACCAAGGCGCCTGAGCCGATGGTCGCGGCCTCTGGCATTGTTCGCAGCTCGGCGGCGGAGGAGCAGCCAGTCCTCGATAGACACCGAGCGCCACTTTGCCAACGCGCTCCACCCACTGCATGCCGACCACTGCCAGGCGTGCAGGCAGAACTCTTCGGTCGCAATGGCAGGAATATACATGCTGGCCATTACGACGGTCGTTGCCATCCCGAGCCCGTTCATCTTGATCAAGGTGTTGCCGGACAAGTCCACCCCGAGCTCGCAACTCAACCTGTACTTGGTGATGGCGAACCCGAGCGCGATATTCAACAGCCTGCTCATGATTGCTTGGGTTGTGCTGGCCGGGCTCAGATGGCCCGCCTGGCGAGAGAAGAGCGGAGTCGGCTTCGCCAAGCAGTGGCTCGTCTCTTTGACAGTCGGGCTGGGTTTCTATTTCCTGGTGGCGGGGGTGCTGTATGCATGCTCGAAGTGATCACCGCATTTGTACAGGGTTGTTTCTGCACTGAAGTTGCTCACGCATGGCGTCTGGAGTGGGAAGACATGATCTGAAGCGTACAGTTTGAGGAATGTTGACATGTTCCGTTTTCGGACATGGATGGAAGCGTGCAGCGAGGGACGACGAGCTAGGCATGCCGCAAGCAGCAGGTCTCAATATGAAGATACCCGGCTATAGACTGAATAGAAGCAGCTACTGTAGAAAATTGACAAGCATGATGACTGCGAGAGAATCTCAATCAGTGTCGTTGTTGTCGCCGTTGTATTGGTCGTTGTACCTGTCGTTGCGAGTGTCGATGGTGTGGGCGGGCGCCGTCCAATCGGAAGCCCTCTCGCGATGGACTCGGATGCGGCGCCATGTCGCTCTCCCTCCACGGCTTCCTCTGCCTCCGCCTTCGCTTCCACCTCCGCTACATCTCAGAACCCGAGCGAGGCTGGCATCCTTCGGGTTATCTCCGACCTACGCACAAAGCAACTTCCTCCTCCGTCCCCTCGAAGAAGAGTCTCGATCACAACTCGCAGAGACTTCGACGGCGCCGTCTCGCCTTGCACGTCCCAGCCTCCGACACCATGGCCAGATAACGCTCCCCCTACCCAGTCGAGGTCGACATCCCTCGCCTTCAACTACGATATCTTTATCACGAGCCCTAGGCGCTTGCCGCCCAGTCCGAGGATGGGCACATTACCAGAAGAGCGGGAGACGCTGATAAACCAGGCTGACAGGTCGTCCGAGGATGCATATCCACGGCTTTCTCACGACAGTGTCACGACTGCCTCGACAGCTTCGTTGGTCCTGGAGAGTCTGAATTCGTCACATGCCACGGAGAAACGTTCGCAGCCCACAGACTATCGAGACGATGACAGTGATCCGGAGTTGCCCCGGTTCAAAGACAAGAATTACACCATTGGCGGACAGCGCATGTCCAGAGGGCTGAAGCGGGCGATATGGATCCTCTCAGCCATTGCAGTAGTGGGTTGGGGGCTGGCGCTACTGGCGTTCGTGGCCGGAGGTCGATATAAACATGCGTCGACATTGGATTACGACCATGAGACACCGATCAAGAGCTCGGGAAAGAAGGTCACGATGGAACAGATCAGGAATGGCCAGTGGTCGCCCAGGTACGCCAATATCGAGTGGACAGCTGGGCCCAACGGCGAGGACGGGTTGTTGTTGGAGATCAATCAGCAGGCTAAGGATTATCTTGTCGTCGAAGATATCCGGAGCCGGACCTCGTCGGCGGCGAACGCTTTCAAAACCAAGACTTTGGTGAAGAGCGGGTGGATCAACTATGGCGGACAACAATACTGGACATCGGACTTCTGGGTGAGCCCGGACATGAAGAAGGTTCTGCTGCTGGCGAACCCCGAAAAGGTGTTTCGACATTCCTTCCTCGGACTGTACTTTATCCTCGACGTTGAGACGCAGAATGCTCAGCCGCTCGACCCAGCCATGCCAGATGCGAAAATACAGCTTGCTCAGTGGTCACCCCAGAGCGATTCTATCGTGTTTACGAGAGACAACAACCTGTTCCTCAGGTCACTCTCTTCGCCCCAGGTGACGCCGATTACAACCGATGGAGGGCCCGAGTACTTTTACGGGATTCCGGACTGGGCATACGAGGAGGAAGTCTTTGGTACCAACACAGCCACATGGTGGGCAAGGGATGGCCAATACCTCGCTTTTCTACGCACAAACGAGACCACGGTCCCAGAATATCCAGTGCAGTATTTCCTCTCAAGACCGAGCGGGAAAAAGCCCCTTGAGGGCCTGGAGAACTACCCGGAAGTCAAGGAGATCAAGTATCCCAAAGCTGGAGCACCCAACCCTGTGGTGGATATGCTGTTTTACGATATCGCGAAACAGGAGGTCTTCTCGGTGGACATCGAGGGGGGGTTTCCAGACGACGACCGGATCATCTTTAACATTGTCTTCGCGAACGACGGAAAGGCATTGGTCTCGGAGTCGAACCGGGAGAGTGATCGGGTTAGGGTTGTGCTTGTCGACGTTGCGGCTCAATCAGGGCATACTGTCAGGGTTGTCGACCTGAAAGACGTGGACGGAGGCTGGATTGAGCCCACGCAACAGACAAAGTACATCCCAGCCGATCCGGACAATGGTCGTCCAGAGGACGGCTACGTCGACGTTGTCGTTTCTAACAACGGCAATCACTTGGCCTATTTCTCCCCCTTGAACAGCTCGATTCCAGTTATGCTGACGAAAGGGGACTGGGAAGTGGATGGTGGGCCAGCAGCTGTCGATCTGAAAAACAATCTGGTGTACTTCACCGCGGCCAAGGAAGCCCCTACACAGCGCCACGTGTACAGCGTCAAACTGGACGGTACGGACATGCAATCCCTCGTCCCCACCGACGAAGCCGGATACTGGGACTCCTCGTTCTCTTCAGGGGCCGGCTACATCAGCCTGAAATACACCGGCCCCAACATCCCCTACCAGAAAGTCATCTCCACTCCGGCCAACCCGGAGAAAATCTCCCAAGTCTTGGAAGAAAACAAGCACCTCGCCCAGGTGGCAGCCTCGCACGAACTGCCGCATCAAATCTTCCAGAACGTGACCGTCGACGGCTATACCCTGCAAGTCGTTGAACGGCGGCCCCCTCACTTTGATCCCAAGAAGAAATACCCCGTTCTGTTCTACCTGTACGGCGGCCCCGGCTCACAAATGGTCAACCGCCGCTTTCACGTCGACTTTCAATCCTACGTCGCGTCCTCTCTCGGCTACATCGTCGTCACCGTGGACGGGCGCGGAACAGGCTTCATCGGCCGCGAAGCCCGCACCATCATCCGCAACAACCTCGGCTCCTACGAGGCGCACGACCAGATCGCCACCGCAAAGATCTGGGCCAAAAAGTCGTACGTCGACGCCGAAAGGATCGCCATCTGGGGGTGGTCGTACGGCGGGTTCATGACGCTGAAGGTTCTCGAGACAGATGCGGGCGAGACATTCAAATACGGCATGGCGGTGGCGCCCGTGACGGACTGGCGGTTCTACGACAGCATCTACACCGAGAGATACATGCGGACACCGCAGAATAATCCACTGGGGTACGACAAGTCGGCCATCTCCAACGTGACGGCGTTATCGCAGAACGTGCGATTTCTCATCATGCACGGCGTGGCCGACGATAACGTGCACATGCAAAACACGCTGACGTTGCTGGACAAGTTCGATCTGGCGGGGATCGAGAACTACGACGTGCACTTCTTCCCCGATAGCGACCACAGCATCGCGTTCCACAATGCCAATAGTATCGTGTATGATAAGTTGGGGAAGTGGCTGGTCAACGCTTTCAATGGGGAATGGTATCGTACGGAGGATCCACGGCCCGTCGAGACAGGCGAGGTGAACAGTGATCTGGACGAGAGGGAGACGAGGTGAACAACAATCTCAGCGAAAGGGCCACGAGATAAACAAGAGGGCACTCTACTATATCTGAAGGGGACTTGATAGTGCGAGATGAATCAGGCGGCTTTACTGAATATTTGAGCGCTTCTACTAGAGCGAGGAGGGCGCCGGTATTAACAGCTGTGCGGCGGAATAAATCAATGAAGGATATGTATGGATTTGATTTGTACAGGACCAAAATGCGAACTGCTATTTCTGTCACAGTCACCCAACAGTTACGTTAAACATGTGCTCAGGTACAATTCAATACGTATAGATCTTGCTTCCCGATAAGTAACAGACGACCTACGGTACTCATTCACCCCTGACTTGAGCCCCTTGCAGCCACCGGGGTATGTTTACTCTATGGCGTGCGGTAAGGCGTATGATACAGTACAATATATGGTATATGGCTATTTCATTGATGTATTGAACTGGGGTGAGGCTTCATTGCCAAACGGGTGAACCTCTCTGTGGCAGCAGGCACTGTCCCCTTTCACACTCAAACCCTCCTTACATCTTGAAGGAACGGTACGATGTCTGTAGCTGAGAGGAGTGTATTGTCTGTCGGTGAATTTCCTCTCTATGAACTATGTAAAGCAAAAGTGGGCACGTGTAGACGAATTCCCCCAGCGAGGCAAGCATGCTTGCTTGGGTAGGCTGTCAGGATGGTCCCGTCGATAACTATGTTTCCACACGACGCTGTAATTCGAGGCAAAGAGTTCAGTGGAGCTCTGGTTTCGCGGGCATGCGAATTGGCGTTGTGAGGTCAATCAGTGGGATCTACATGGCGTGAGACTGCTCTCAGATCACGTTTCCCAACAACGACAACAACAACAACAATGGCGGCGCCGAGGCAACTCACAACTTACCGTGATGCTCAAATTCGCGGCGGCGCCGTTGTACAACGGAGAGGTATCGATACTCGTGCCGATCGAGCTTCCAGGACTCCGTGATTACCGCTGTGTAAAGGCCGTCATCACGTCCGGCAAAAGACTGAAGGATGGAGACTGATGCTTTGCGCGAACGCCGGTTCGCCCTTCTACTGTATGTTACTCGGCACGGTTCAAGGGACCTGGGAAAGACGGGACCAGACGTGTGCTGAGCGGCGGACGTAGAGATGGTAATGCGAGATGTATCTACCCCCAAAGCAGCAACACTCTCCTTGACCCATGCAAATGAGATGCGTTGATCGAGGAACCCAGCATTCGAAGACCCTTCCACACGTATGACTGGCTTCTGCAGGAAGGCCCTGACACCCAATCTCCAATTGATAGAGACCCCGATGCAGGGGTTGTCCGTCAATGTCGAGGTATGGACGACTCCGGACAGATTGTACTGAGACCAGCACTGCCGCCAGCGAACAGACCTCTACGCAAGTCAGTCGGTGATGGGGCAGGATAAATTTCCCTACCTCCGCCATAGATCCAGACCAGCGCGGGAGGACTCTGGTTCGCCCATATCTTCTGGGTCCCATGACTGGGTCCCGTCAGTCCAGACGAGCTTGAGCCACATGCTGTCTACGGGCTAGGCTGGAGAAACATCCAGGACGGCCGACCGTGTACTGTAGACCTCTTCGTCCCAGCGATATGTGAACGCAACGAGATTCTCGGTCAAGGAGCCCGCCGATGCAGCTTCCCCGTATTCCATGGAGCGTGATGGCATGCGCAGTACTTGTCTCGGAAAGCGAAAGCCTTGCATATGGGGACGAAAAGACTTGCGGAAAGGAGAACCGTCTTTCAATCGTGTTGCTCTGTACCCATTTCAGTTGTGGTTGCTTTGGTATATGCAATGAATTCAGCCGGATTCCCCTAGTTAGGAGTGGTGAGATGGGGAGAGAGCAGTCCACGTCTGTTATTAAATACATCTGCAGGAGATGGTGAGTGATGGTCGCGTAGAATACGCCAGCGGCGGTTTGCTGTGTCCTGCAGCCAGCTTTAGAGATACTGCCATCTTGTATTGAAGACGTCTCTACGGAGGCTGTTCATTTGAGGATCAAGAGGAACTGTGGCAGACAGGGAGCCTTGTGATTCTGCGGGCAACGGTGCAAAACAAGTAAAATCTGCCAAGGCCAGATATGGAGCTGAAAATCTGCCAAGGCGCAACTGCTGGCCAATCATAGGCGTGCTCGGTGTGCTGAACTGTGATTCGGCCGCCTCAGTACTAGGTAGGTGCCGACATGTGTCGCCATGGCCGGTCAATTGAACACCGTATCTAAGTTCAGTTGGTACGTATCCTTGTTCTGGATATCTACGATCGAGTGGAGACCCGGACTCCTATGCGTAAATCAAGGCCACCCAGGTTGTAGAAAAAATCCCACCACAGGCTCTGAAGAAGACGTGATGAAAATCTGCGACACCCTAACTATTGAGAATATATCTCTAGACGTGCGGTTCATTTGGAAGGAGAGAATGATATCTTTGAATGAGAAGAGAGCCTAAATACCTACATAGATGCTAACAGAGTGGACGTTCTGTATATCCTTTTTGGATGTATGGTAGCCAGGATACTCCAAAAGGGAATATGCCACTGCCATATATTCATACACACCAATGAGCCAGCTCAAGGTATCTCCCCCATATCCTGCATGATATAGTCCCACTGCGCCCAATCCAGCTGGACGTCTGCCAGCGCCAGATCGTGCGCCAGACTATGTTCAGATGCAAAGATACCGTCGCCAGCCGGTGGTGGAGGTATTATGGGCTGGAAGGCAGGCAAGGGGAGCTGGCTGCTTGCGTTGGAAGTGCCATATACAGTGTCCGCCGAGAAGAGATTACTGGGCGTAGGTTGCGTCGGCGGCGAGATGCTCTCCCAACCCATTGTGGTCGGGAACTGGCTATCGCTGCTCCCAGCATCGTTGACAGCATCTCTCGCATTGCCGGAGCGCATCTTCGACGACGCAGCCTTGGCGCGCTGTAGCGGCCCAGTCTCCCGCTGCTCGCGGAGCTGTTGGATATACTCTGGGATGAACTTGGGGAACACACCGTTGGTACTTGCGCGAAGGGCCTTCTCCCGCGCGGCGTACGCTTTCAAGCACAAGCTTCCCACCGCCACGTGCAAGGGTCGCTTGTAGTCTGTCACGAAGTATGGATGATGCCGATAGATCTCGTCCACCGCTTGCCACCCCCTGTCAGCCTCTGGTCCTAGAGTAGACTGCTTCAGGTCGTTGAGGACGAAAATGAGGGCTTGCCACACAAAATGCACTCTAGTATGCCACATGAATCTCTGCAACTGCTTCGACGAATGTGCCATGTTCGTTCCTTCGAGAAGCTTCACCGACACGTTCCAGAGGTAGTCCCGTTCTCCTGGCGGCAGTTGCTCCTGGTAGCCCCATTTGCGCGGATGGTGGGCCATCAGTCTCATCATGTTGATAGCTCCTCTGCCGATGATGATAGACATGAACTGTATAGGCACCGACGGATCACAGTACTTGAGAAACTTGTCTTCAAGCCGTTGTTCCAACTCGTCCATCGTGGCGTCTCGCTCTTCAAGAGAGCTCTTCAACGGCGCGGAAAGACGCAAGCTCTCAAAGTCGATGCTCGATTTTTGTCGTTGCTTCTCCAGGAAGAACATGGTAAGCTCGATTCGGAGAAGACACGATATCATTTCGGTCGGCCTTGTTTGCGGAACTGGCGGTTCCTTCATCTCGGGATAGAGGTCTTCATCGTTCACGTTGGTCGGTGCCAGAACATCGGAGAAGGAGAGGTCGCTAAATCGACCTGAACCACTGAGTTCGGCTGAGCGTCCCTCCAACACGACTATTTGCCACCACAAACGTCGGCGCATTTCTGTCTCGAAAATCGACAGCCCCAGACCTGTGCCGTCGCGATGGAGACCCATGCCTTGGGCGATGCGGACGGCAATTCCTGCCAAGGTCCAGTTCGTCCGCGGGTCGTAGTTCTCGCGCATGGAGAACAGGTAGAGGGACAGAGCTTGGAGCACCACTAGCTCCGAGGTATTCATGAACCTCGCCCGGGCCAGCGCTTTCCTCGTGGCGTGTCGGTATCGCGCAAGCAGGATCTTTCGAGGCTCACCGAGTCTCATTTCACACTCTTCGTCATCAATGGTGTAGACGGCAGCGCCGTAGATGGCGAACAACAGCGCTTCCAGGCCTCGGGGCAGATTGTCGAGCTGCCCACAGGCTTGCTCGAGCGTCTTGCCAAACGACGGATAGTGGATGAACTTGGTCATCGGGTTGATGTTGTCAAGGTATATTTGCCAGAGGATGAAGATATTGGTGGGAGAGGGATGTAGTTGTTGGATCGAGTTGCTCGTCGGGGTGTAGCCGAGAATGAACTCGGTGCTCTCCTCGACCGGGGTGCCCGCGTCGTCCTCGTCGTCGTCGGAGTATCCGGCGATCGCTTCGTTGGGCTGTTGGAACTCGTCCGAAAGACTCGCCCAGAGATTGTTCTCGACGAACAGGGACTTGCCCTGGTCTACGATCAACCGACCGGCGCTCCTGATCTCGGACGCGGCGAAGATGAGATCCTCGCCAGTCGTGCCCGACACATCGGGACTGAGTTGCTGCGAACTCGGTTGAGTCAGCGGAGGGCTTTCGAGCGTCACAGGGCCCGAAGCCGCCCGCGACTGTGTTTCGGGATTGTCGACGTCGATGCCTCTGCTCTTGAGGAGATCCTCGCACTTTTTGAGGCGCGCAAGTAGTAGATCCTCCTGGGCCCGTTTCCTCCGGCGGCGTGGAGCGGGCGGGACTCGGAAGATGCATTCAATCTTGGACTTGACACAATTGGAGCACGGGCTCTGCTTGTCGCATTTCACCTTTCTCTCAAAACATCGGATGCAGCTGAATGCCTTGTGGAGGCGCTGCTCTTCCATGGTGGCGTTAGCGCTCATGTCTGGTCTTGTATCACGACATGATCATCACGTCTTCTTCACGACTTGGCACAGACACGCGAGAAGCTTGCACTGTACACAGTCACGATATCGTGATGTGTTCGAGGAATCAGGCAGACGGGATCATCAGTTGCATGTCCTTACCCGAAGCAGCTACTGTTGACGCAACTGTCAATACGAACACGCGGCCATGGAATTTGCTTGGCGTCAATCGCGTGTGAGGAGCGACTCAGTCTTTTCTCAGTTTGTTCTCAGTCTTCTCTTAGTCTTCTCTTAGTCTTCTCTCAGTCTTCCCCTTGGCTCGTGGTGACTATGCCTTGATGGTGGCTGCTGGGCACCGAACAGGTCGACGATAACTCGCAGCTCTCGCGTGAGACCTTAACAGTCAGTCATGACAACGGCGGCGCATGTCGAATCTGGGGCACGGTTCATCAGTATTATGAAGCAGTTTCGGTCACGTTGTAGTTATTCTTAGCCCAGGCAGACCCCGGACGATCAGGCCCCAGCGGTCATTTCGGCATCCAGCCATCCACCGCGCCGGAGCTTTGCCAATCTATCCCAGTACTGTAATGAGCTAAAGAGCTTGTCTGAGCTTCGGCCCGAAATGACTTGGACCGCCTCTGAACTCTCCGACTCTGAACAAACCAGCTGCTGCTATGTGTGTTCTGTGCGCGGGCACTCAGTACCGCGAGAGGATTCGAGGCGATTGCTTATCCAATTCACAGTACGGAATACCTCTGGTCGGTGCCCTGCTTCGCACGGAAACTGGCCGTAACAGCTTGCAGGAGCCAAGGTGTGTCAACATGGAGGCTGAGAATAGCAGCCCCGTCAGCAAAGCCACCACCAGGGCTCGGCCTCCTCATCCTCTAGAAACCCCGTTCTTATAGTCGCCTTAAGGCTCCCTTGACGCAACCAATGTTTCCTCAGTACTGTGTATACTGCTGGCGTTCCCCCAGAATACCAGCTTCTTCTGCCCATACCACTGAGCTTCGGTCCAGAAAGGCAGGTCGACTACACGGAGATGGACGAGAGCCATCAAGATACGAATCTGCAGCTGGATGCCATCACAGGCAAATTAGCCACCCTGCTGGACCAACTCGCAGAGCGACGCGAGAAATGCACCACAAGGGCGGAAAAGAAACACCTCGATCGACTCCGAAGAGACGCCAAGAAGCAAGTATCGGCAATGATCAAGCTTCAACAATCAGTCGACCATGCCAACGCCATCATTGCAAAGTCCTCGCAAGCCTTAGAGAAGCCTCAAGCAGACAAGAGACCACCACGCCAGAGCGAAGCTTCTGAGGTGAACAGCATGCTCTTCCGAGCCGTCGCAGGGCCATTTCAGAACCAACATCGCCTTCGTCTTGTTCGACAACGTCGGAGTCCCGAGCTGAGCCAATTCTTGAAGCCGTGGAAACCGTCAAAGTCTGCCACTACAGCAAGTATGACCAAACGAAAGCCCGGCCCGACCACCACGCTGAAGCAATCGGCGAGCACGAATTCGGACGACAGCGGCAGGATCGATGTCCAGTCTGCACGTCCAGCGACCGAAGCACCTCCAGAGATCGAAGCACGTCCAGAGTCCGACGCACGTCTAGAGATTGAAGTACGTCCAGAAACCGAAGCACATCCAGAGACCGAAGTATGTCCAGCAGCCGGTATCAGTCAAGAGGGCAACACCCCAAACCTAGCGCCATCCCAAGAAGTATCAACTTCAAAATTAAATTCAGATTCAGATGCGGACTCGGACTCGGACTCGGATCAGGATCCACAGTCGGGCTCCGCCCTGTCCTTGTGCTCGTCGTCGTCGTCGTCTCTAGACTTCCCTTCCCAAGATCAAGACGGGAGCGCCGACCACTCGACACAGCCTCCTCCCTTACCTCGCAAATCTTCGCGCCGAATTTCGCGCATCCCGCGGGTACCTTCGTCCAGCCAGATGCCTCCACTGCCGCCACTACCGTTGGCGCCCTTGCCACTCATGCCGAGGGCGGTGCCCAAGTCTTCGTCCTCGTCTCCATCATCCTCCTCCGCAGCGAGCACAACCGACAAACTCGCCGAGGATTTGCTGTCCAGTCTGGAGAAGCGCTATAGTCTGACCATGACCAGGACGGTGTCGACCACATCATCGATACCGTCGACTCTATGAGCTGATGTGATGTGATGTGATGATCCGACCACGAAGCTTTTCCTTGGATATACTGGGTATGCGTGCTGGTTTGTGGCGCGTTGAATGTAGGATGGAGTCGAGGGGTCCGGAGTCGAGGGTCGGGAATCAAGAGTCGAAATTCTAGAGATACCCATTTTTGATGCACGTCGAGTCGGTTATCAGGCTGAGATGGCCGGATGGAATATAAGAAGTACTTCGTTTTGTACAACGCTGTTCCGTAAGCGAGAGCGGGGATCGGAGTGGGAGTGAGAATGAGAATGATACTGTAGCCACGACTCACGGGCCACAAGTCACAAGTCACAAGTTGTAATAGCTTGGTGTATTGTATAATGTTCATGCCATATGTGCCGTGCTATACTTGATCCGTGTACGCGGCGGTTCAGGGAGTGGAAGTTACTGGGGTCTAGTTGGTCTTGCATAGCACACATACCTGGGTAATATAGTGCCCGTCGAGCATGGCAGAGCAGGCCTCGTGCGACAGATAAAGTACAGAGCATAGCATAGCCACAGACGATTCCATCTCAGAAAATTTTCCTGTGTTTCTGCAATTATAAGTGAAGTCGCAATTCTCTGATGTAGTCGAGTGGAGAGTTTTGCAAAGTCGAGCCGGAGTCATTGCCTAGCGCCGCACTGACACTGGTATGCTACCCAACTGTACAAACACAAGGTAGGTAATGAAGCAGACCGGGAGTGGCGCATCACGCTATACCTCCACGACCATTTTCTCCGGCGCCTCTGTTTTCGACCTTGGCTGGCGCTCCTCAGAATGCTGCACCAACGAGTCAGCTCCCTCAGTCGATCCTGGCTTGCTATCGGATGCCTGGGAACCGGCCTTCTCCCTGGCTGCCTTTGCTGCAGCTTCCTGCGCCGCGGCGACTTTCTTCAGGTTGTTCCACGGCATGGCGAGAGCGCCAAACACGGTGGCGCAGGTAACGGCGACGACGACGTAGAATGCATTTCGTAGAGCGTCGTTGTAGGCCATGAGCACCGGCTCCAGCAGGTCAGGGGGCACAATACTCCGTATATCAGTCGCGCCGACGTGCGTGACGACCTTTGCGTCAAGGCCTGGGATCTTTCGAAGGTCTTGCGACAGGGTATTGTCGAAGATATTGTTCGCCACGGACACGAAAATCGAGCCACCCAGAGCTTGAGCGAAGAACATCATACTTGCTCCGGTCGCGACGTCCTTCCGCGGCAGGGAGACTTGGGCGCCCACCGACGGCTGCTGTATCCCTAGCCCCAGCCCGAGGCCCCATAGAACTTGGTATCCGATCCATTTCGGATGGGCCGTAGTCGTCGTGAATGTGGATATTAATCCTGCACCAATCGAGGACAGTACGAAGGAGGCGTACATCCACCGGGTAAAGTATCCCAGTTTGCGTGTGAGGATACCTGCTGCCATACTGGCGACGGTGATTCCAAGGACTGCGGGGAGATTCATGATTCCTGAATGGACGGCCGAGGCACCCTTGATTGCTTGGAACCAGATTGGCAGGAAGTATATTAGTGCCATCATGCCACCCCCAGCGAAGAAGGCGTAGGAGACACCGGCACTGACAGCGCGGTACTTTAGGATCCGGGGAGGAACCGTGGCGTGCTCTTGGAAGAGGTGTTGCAGGTACATGAAGGTGAGGAAGAGAACGCCGCTGAGGACAAGGAGGACGATGATTCGGGCGTCCGACCAGTTATAGGTTGTGCCGCCCCACTGCAACGCCAGGAGGAGGCATACGATTGCAGGGAGAAAGACGGCTGTACCGATAGGGTCGAGTTGGCGCAGTTGTTCCTTTAGGGTCATTTTGGAACGCTCGGTGGCGGCCGCTGGGAGCTTGAGAACGAAGAATAAGACAACCGCCATTGCTCCTCCAATGGGTAGATTAATGTAGAAGCACCATCTCCACGAGACTTTGTCCGTAAACACGCCTGCATGCTTGTTAGCATCAAGACCCGTGAGGAAAACCTCACATTGCCACATTCTAGATAACTTGTGCACATCCTGGAAAAGTACTTACCGCCCAACAGCGGTCCTGCGACCGAGGCTACTGCGAAGATAGCGCCAAACATTCCCGTGTATGCTGGTCTCTTTTGTAACGGGACGAGGTAGACAATGATTGTAATGGCGCCTGAGAACATGCCCGAACTTCCGAGTCCGGCAATAGCTCTTCCAGCTATAAGCGTTGCAGAGTTTGGAGCGGCTCCGCAGATGAGCGAGCCTAGCTCGAAAATACCGAGGCAGGCGATGTATACAGTCTTTGGGTTGTAGAAGGTGTACACCCGACCGATGAAGAGTTGGAAGCCCGACATTGTCAATAGATACGCCGAGGCATACCATCCCACGTCTGAGAGGGAGTTAAAGTGGTTCGTGATGACAGGTATGGCCGTTGCTATAATGAGACGATCCTGGACAACGCTGTCAGTGAGTATATCTTATGGGATCGTACGAGGACCGACCAATGCGACGAGGAAGGCACTGGCCATCATTGCAAACACAATTATGAGAACTTTTGACTTCGGTGGATATTCGTCCATCTCAAGAGGCCCAGTGGTAGTGAGAGCTTTAGAGCCTGCGTTGGAAGCATCTTCACTGTGGCCGCTTCGCAACTCTGTAGACCGTAGCCGTTCTGGCATAATGTCCGCAATCCGTAATGCACTGTTATGGAAGCCGAGATGAGGTGATGAAGCAAATGCTTATTGTGCCTGCCAACATGAGGATGCCGAGGAGAATGTTATACCAAGGAGATCATCCCGCTTTTTCTTCATGATGGCACCCACCGTTGTTTAGCTGCCCCATTGTGTTGACTCTGAACAGGCTCCAGGGAACTGAACCCTCCGCTCTCTCGGACGCGAAAGTGAAAGCAGACGCGGGGACCGCTCAGAAAGGGCCATAGAGAAGCCACACATCTCGACGAGACTTACAAAGGCAGTTCCAACAGTCGCATACAAGCTGCTGAACGTCCGAGACGTCTGTTGCTCCTCGGCGCCGAATGGCAACTTGGGTCCGAAGGTTGAAGGAAAAGAGAAATTGAACTTGGAGACTGGCTGAGACTGGCACGCTGGAGCGACTGGTCACGGCTGGTCACTTGGTTTCCCGTACTGGGATTGCGGCCGAGCACAGAGCCAATCAAGAACATATTCCAATTGGCTGGAACAAATTTCTGTCGCCGCTCTCAGCCTTGTCGCAATTTTGGCGTTGGACCTGGGTTTCTTTTCCCGCGTCTCCCAACGCAAAAGCGGTGATATGACCAGAGTGAAATAATGAAGCCGGTGTGGGCCTCCTGGCCAATTGTTGGCGAAATGGTGGGAGAGTTATCCGGATCCTTCTCACGTGGTTGCCTCCGTGACATCAGCGCCTGCCAACCGCTGCCATGACGTGCGTCAGTCGAATAATTATCGTCTGAGGGAGAAGTGAAGTTCTATATCGCTTTTCGCTTCAACAAGAACTCATTCTCCATAAACTTTCGACTTGCAGATCGATCACGTGCCTTGTTCAAAGTCGTTCACAATGTCTGAAGGAAAAGGTCAATTCGAGCAGGGTTTCCTCCCCAAGGTCACCCACCAAGATCCTCCTGGGAGAGAGGGTGATTTGCCTGTGGAGGCGATCCACGACAAACTGCCGACTCCTGATGGTGGATGGCAGGAGTACAAGGCAGCTGGAAAGTTGGAAGGCAAGAAGGCGTTCATCACAGGCTCGTCCACCCTGCGGTCTGCATGCATTCCCCCGATTAACATGTCCCACAGGTGGTGACAGTGGCATTGGACGGGCGATTGCCATTCTCTTTGCGAAAGAAGGTGCCGACAGCTTCATCGTCTATCTCCCCGAGGAAGAGGAGGACGCAAAAGAGACGCAGAAGCGAGTCGAAGCCGAGGACCGCAAATGCCATCTCTTCCCAACCGATGTCAGAAAGTACGAAAACTGCGAAAAGGCCGTCAAAGCGGCTCAGCAAGCCTTGGGCAAGATCAACATCCTAGTACGAGCTGTCCTTTTTCAATGACTATCTGACGACTGACATTGTTCCTTCAGGTGAACAACGCGGCCTACCAAATGATGCAGATGGATATCACTGAGATTCCTCTCGAGCAATGGCACAAGACCTTCGAAACCAACATCCACCCTTACTTCTACTTCGCCAAACTCATTGTACCTCACATGAAACGCGGCGACACGGTCATCAACAACGCTTCGATCAACGCGTACATCGGTCGCCCCGATCTGCTAGACTACACGTCCACGAAAGGAGGTATGCTGGTCCACCCCATCCATCTTCCATCCACCGCTACATTTGTATCATCTGCTAACACCGTGATTCATAGCAATCATCTCATTCACCCGCGGCCTGGCCAATCAACAAGTCAGCAAAGGTATTCGCGTCAACGCTGTCTGCCCAGGGCCTGTATGGACTCCGCTCATCCCATCAACCATGAATGAGGACGCACAGAAGCAGTTCACCTCGCCGCTGGGTCGACCCGCTCAACCTAGTGAGATTGCCACTTCGTTCGTGTTCCTGGCCAGTCCGGATAGCAGTATGATCAGCGGGCATGCTCTGCATCCTAATGGCGGAACTGTGCTCAACACATGAATGAAGGATGAAGCTTTCAGGGGAATGTTTGACCCTCGGGTCAGGAATCGGGATATGAATGGTTGTATGCAGCGCAGATAGACCTCTTACTCGCTAGACGGCGAAAAGCGAATCGAAATGGAAATGATCTTTAGACCTGATATTGCTTTTTTGTTCGTTATTGAGTACATATCATAGCATGGTCTGCTGCATCGGGTGTTACACTAGCACTTGGACCTGTAGGCACTGCCTTTACGAGTAGTGTGCCGCTCCACCCCTGCCACTCTCGCAGTTGTGCTATGCTCTCGGTCCTCGTTCTTCTCGAACACTCTCACGTTGCTTCTCTTTACGGTCCACTCCCTGCGCTGAGGATGTATCCACCGTCTACTGCAACGGTCTGCCCGTTCAAGTACTGGTTGGTGGCCGCAAACAAGACCGCGTTTGCCATATCTCTGTCCTCACCAGGCCGTCTGGCCGGCACTTTGTCCGCATACTTCTCCCTGGGGATATGGCTCTTCTGATCGTCACCGCTGTCCTTGGCCGTCATTTCCGAGGGGAAAACACCTGGCGCGATGCCGTTGATGCGAATCTTCAGGCCGTTCTGCGCCACTTCGTTGGCGAGCATCGAGGTCAAATGGATGGCAGCGGCCTTGGACGCATTGTAGGCGGCATGGTGCTGAGAGGTCTTCACAATACCTGAGATGGACGAGATATTGATGACCGTGCCGCTGAAATTGTCGTTGTGTTGGTGGGCGGCCTGCAAGAGGGGCAAGAATGCGGTCGTCATGAAATAAATCTGCGGCACGTTGGTGCGGTACGTGTCTGTCCAGTTCTCGAACGTCTCGTTCTCGTCGTTGAAGAGATTGTTCTTCATCTCGTCAGCGGACTCTGCCTCGGTCTGTTGCGTGTTGCCAGAGATGCCGGCGTTGTTGACCAGAATACAGAGACATTTCTCCTTGGACGAGATCTCGGAGACCAGCTTCTTGATCTCTTCCTTCTTGGACACGTCGGCTGTGATGGGAATGATCTGGCCGGGAATATCCTTGCCGTAGAGCTCCGCTACGCGGTCCAATTTCTCTTCGGTACGGCCGCAGATGTAGACTTTCGCTGCATTAGTGGCCAGAGCTTGCGTGATCATCAGTCCGATACCCGTGCCTCCGCCAGTCACTAGGGCAACTTTGCCAGAGACATCGAAGAGTTTCTCGAGCTTGAAATCCTGGTTGCGGGAATTGAGTCCGGACATGGTTGGCGTGGATGAGAAATGCTTCTGTAGCGTTTGTAGACGAGACTGAGCCGTGATGAAAGGAAGTGGTTTTCGATAAATCAAAGGAGCAGCGAAAGCTCGGTGAGTACAGCGGTACGCAGACTTGGAAGTTCGAAGGGCAGCTGCTATGGGGGCTTTAGGCGGCATTGGGGGAGAACCACTTGAAGTGAAGAGCAGAAGAGGTCTTGTAATATGGAGAACGATCTTACTGATGCCTCACGTTGGAATCACAGCGAATGCTGCTATGACGCCCTTCATGACGAAATGCGACCGTTGACGGCGGAGCACTTCTCCGAACTTCGACGTCTGCACGCCGATTTCTCTCAGCTGATTTCTAGCATGGACTCGTTTGGTCCAGTTCTCGTCCGCCATGCAGTCGGCAAATAAGATACACCTCAGCGTAGTCTGGCTTAAACATGATGATGGGTTGGCCGGGAGGTGAGGCTTCGAAGAGTGCTCGTCCTAACGCGAAATCTGGGGAAGTCTGGGTGGAGCAAACTGCGACCCAATCATTCCAAACTGCGGGTTGACGTCGGCTTCGATTTGACGACTTCCTCACCCTCGAGTCCGTCCCGTCCACAGTCCTCAAAGCGTGCCTTTGCCTCCTCTCGAGTCGCAGAATGACAACCTATGGGGCCGGTGTTCCTCTCTCCTATGAAACGCCCGAGTTCCCCGCCCTCTACTGGCCCGTCCGCGCCACCCCTGGCGAAGCACGATACCTGTACTTCCTGGGCGACATCTACCGGTACACGCTGTACTGGACGCTCATAACCTTTGTCGCCGCCCACGCCTGTGTGGCAACCTGGGCGGTGTTGATGCAATTCGCTTCCGCTACGCAGCGAAGAAAATACCTCAACTCCCCACAGGGACGAAAACTGAGAGCGAAGAATAGGAAATTGTTGGGCGAAAATCCGATTGGAGAGACGTTGAGTTGGGTTTGGATTGTCCCCGTGGTCTATATCGTTATCGGGGCAAGCGAGGCGCTTTTGGCAGGGAGTTTGGTAGGGCTGGTCCTCGGAGCAGTCTACAATGCAGGTTATTTCAGGATGAGTACTTGGACGCCTTTGTTGTGGGCGGTTATCAACATGCTCGTGCTGGTCGTCAGCAGTTTTAGGATTCAAGGCGGTTTATGAGACATCAACAGCTACTGCCAGTCACTCGAATCATTGCTGCCACAGGAGGCTTATCCGCCCAGCAGAGCAAGCACCAGCCTTTCGATAATTGAAGCTATCATGGGCAAGTACCTGAACGTCGGAAGAGCTAGAGTTCCTATCGCGACAAAAGATGCGGAAGCACAGGACACGACCTACCATTATATGCAAAACAAAGTCACTTTCGTGACGGGATAATTGCGTGGGAATGGGGGATGCCTGTACTGGCAATTGATGCTGTGCACGCTTGGGCGAGCAACCCAAGTCCCGAAATTGGGAGGAGGCAGTGGAGACCCCTCAAACGTCCCATGATATCTGAAAGACATCGGGTCATTCCACGAGCGCGACGATCGGGGTGCCTGCCCCGGAGCCTGCTCTCCACTTTAAATGGGAGAGACACTTGTGGAAAAGGGTAGAGAACGACTCGAAGTCACTAGAGACCAGAAGCTCTCGACACCGGTGTGATGGTCATCAATAGATTGCAGATGGTCTCCCAGCATTGCCGCTGAGTTGTTGCTGCCCTGCCAAGGAGAAAGTGATATGTCAGAGACTGCCACAATGCTGGTAAGGAGATACTTGTCTCAGTCATCCTAATTCGTTCTCTGCCTGTAAATAATCGGTTTGGCATCGTAGCTGTATCTGCATCGGCCAGCAGGT